AGCTGAGATTAGGAGCACTCCCTTTAAGAGTGTGCTCCTAATCTCAGCTCGTTACCTGTATAAAAAGACACCTGGGAGCCAGAAATCTGATTGAGAGGGGGTCAAATACTTATTTCCCTCATTAAAATGCAAATCAATTTAAAACATTTTTGACATGCGTTTTTCCGGATTTTGTTGTTATTCTGTCTCTCACTGTTCAAATAAACCTACCATTAAAATGATAGACTGATCATTTCTTTGTCAGTGGGCAAACGTACAAAATCAGCAGGGGATCAAATACTTTTTTCCCTCACTGTACTTCCAGACAAAAGATTCAGTTAATAAACATTCACCATCACTCACCGGCAGTAAATCATCAACTCATTGGATAAAGCCAAACACAATAGCAATCCTTTTAGTCTTTTCCCCCAATTTAATTTCAATTGTGCTATCGGCATCATGCAGTGAAACTGAGTGTCCATTCGCAACTCTAGTAGAGCCGGGGCATCACCCTATGTTAGAAAACGGTCCACACAAGCAGTGAGCACAGAACTACTTTTGAGAATCCTTCAAGTGACCTTTTACATCCATAAACTGGGGAAGCACTTTTCCACACACCCTGCTATGTTTTGCTTGGCAATAAAACCGAAATAATGAATTCTCAAAGCAGGATTTCTCCACATTACGTAACAACCCAAATTCAATGTTCAATGCAACAATTGCTGACCCTTCTGATGACATGAATTCTCGAGACTACCTCTGGATCTAAAACATCCAAAACAGATATCGTGCAGCCAGAACCTCAACGATGCAGGCTTCGTGTCTCAAGTCTAAAGTCTCCCTGCCATCGCCATCACCTGTTGTAATGTTCATATTGTTTTTAAAATCTATATCTACCATTCCGCGATTGTCATGTTTTGAGCATCCATATGTAAACCCCTTATTTCTGTAGCGTTAAATTGTGTTCACTGTTATTAAATGTCGATGTGGAGACAAAGCAACATGTGTGACAACCGTGCCGCTGGGCGCATCTACACTGGAGGCAGCTTCCCCCAGCGACAGCAGTGGAAACTCCACGTTCCCACGACGAGACAATACCCACGCACCACCGGACAATGTAACAAAATAAAAGCAACGTCTCCTTCGCGCGTATTTCTTCTCCACGTGACCAAAAAAAAAGGAATCTCTAACGCAACCCATCAGCCGCACCGCTTTCTGGCAGGGGGATTATTTCAGCAAGGCAAAGCAAACCGCGGGGCAAGCTTTCGACGCGAAATCTTCATCAGCGAGGATCGTCTTTTCATGAACCACTGTTGGCGTGATGCCGCCCTGAACGGACGATGTGCACCTATGCCCCCGATTCGTGTCTTCTGTCCGCCACTTCGGGGAATAACCCCGAGGTCCTCTCCCAACAAATAACAACCGGGGGCCCATCCACGACTCGCGCACCTGGGATCGCCGTGAGGGAGGGTGGGTGGATGGGGGTGTGCAGACGAGGAGGGCAGCGGATGGCGGTGCAAGGAGGGCTCGCGAACCCGTCTGTGTGGACCTGACGCAGGAATCGCACCGTGACCTTTCCCGAGGCCCAACATTCTGACGCGCGACGCCGGCCAAAGACTAAACGGGCGATCTTTTCACGAGCTAAATAAATGCAATTACGATGATCATCATGATCATCATCGTGATCATCATCACCTGCAGCAGCTGTTATTGTTGTCGTGATGACGGTGATGGCGAGAGTGAAGGGGCGTGGAGGGGAGGCTCCACACGGGGTGAAGTTTACGCCGCGCCACCACTCTTAGCGCCGTCTGTATAACGGGGCGGCTGCGACGGGAGGGGTTGGTTACAAAGAGGATGTCAGACTCACGGCGGCGGCCTTGTCGCTACCGTCGATGTCAACGGCGGCCGCGCCTCGCCGCCGCCGCCGCCGGCTCCTCGCTCCGCCTCGCAGTCACGGAGGCCTCTGCGCTCCGCCGTGGTGCGGGAAGCCTGCCCCTGCCTGCTCCTCCACAGCTGGCCCCACACGCAGCAACGCGCTCTCCCATTGGTCGACAGCGTCCCCCCACCACCACTCACCACCCCGTATTGACCAATAGGAGCAGTCGACTCAATCGGTGGGGGTGGGCAGCAACTTCGCGTTTAATTGGTGGAGGCGCCGCGAGCACGCGAAGCCGCTTCCGGAAGATTCTTCTGCTTTGCCGCGGTTTTATTTTTAAACATTTTGACTTAAAACTTTCGTGACTGCAGGAATTCACGGTTCTTGGTTCTTTCCGTAAGGTCACGTAGATAGAAAATAAAATAATAATTAAAAATAAAAGGTACAAAAAAAACGTCGTGTTTTTTTGTTTTTATTTAAATTTTCCATGTACGTGACTTTACCGAAAGAACCAAGAATATTTTGTTACATCTTCATCTTCCGGAATGGGTGTAGGTCGGAGGGTAGTGGGGGCATTGCCAGATGAGAGGGTTTTTATCTCTGGGTGTCGTGATGAGAATAGCTACCATGGATAGACCCGGCCGTGAAGGGAACTTTTCACGCTTCATCCAGCGGTAGACTGATCATGGCTCACGATGATCATTACATTTCATTTGATTTTTTTTAACCGGGCAGGAATCCGTGGAGACTTATGGGCCAGAGTACCGCACGAGTTACGATATTTAGAAGATCGTAAACTGTACTCTTTGGTTCTATTGGGTAAAGTCACGTAGGTGAAAATAAAATAACAAAAAATCACGACGTTTCGGCCACAACACAAGCGGCCTTCATCAGGTGAAGGGACGAGACTGTCTGGAGGACAGCGCTGGAGTGGAAGAAGCCACGCTTAGATCACGACCTTTAAGCTGTGTGGGAAGAAAAAGGCCAAGTGCCTTGACAAAGGAATTAGCATATAATTTAGCATTGAAATAGCTCATTGATATATCTAAGTTAAAGTATACACATCCGCAGAGGTACCCCTTGACAAAGGAATTAGCGCTGGAGTGGAAGAAGCCACGCTTAGATCACGACCTTTAAGCTGTGAGAAGAAAAAGGCCAAGTGCCTTCCTAACTTGGGGTGGCCCCTTGGTGGGGACACGAGGCATGGCTCGATTTTTAGAAGGTAAAAATCATCAAAACACAAAATAAATACGGGCACTAAGTTACAACTTACTTTGTTTTCATTAAACCCTATTTGTTTATTATACATTTTTGTAGCAATTGAGGACCAAAGGGGTGCAAGGCTAAATTTCGATTTAAAGCTTTCGTGACTGCTGGGATTCATATTCTTGGTTCTTTCGGTAAAGTCACGTAGAAGGGAAAAAATAAAAATATAAAACAATACAATTCTCACGTAGATGGTAATGGTGAAGAAGAAACACTGCTCTTGCAAACACAATACACCAACATCCACAAATACATCGCGTAAGGCAGCAATCCTTTCTCTTATACTGGTAGGAACGAAGTTGTAAACTGAGTGTACCAGCCTGCAATAGATTAATGTGTCCGTCCGTCCCCTTTCAATACTTTAACGAAGTGAAATCTCGTGCTGTTGGGTGTAAAATCAGCAATAGACAGCGCAGAGACTTGATGTCTTATTGCAGCCAACATTTGGAAGTAACAATGTCATTAAATTGCGCAAAATTCCAATGTTCCTACCAGCCCACCCTGCAGGGACCTGTTAATTATAAAGCGCTTCTATCCTAATCGCTTTACAAGTGTCACGAGCGGTACAATGAGGGTAGCTAGGAGCGATTTGGTGACTTGGCAAGGGGTTTGGGGAGGGCCGTTTAGTGGGCACCGGGAATTGCGATGGGTGCCTCGGGATGGAGGGAGCTGTGCTTCATGTGAATAAGTAATATTTAAAACAACTTTTTTTTTTAAAACACGCTTTAATGAAATGTACCGTACTAGTAATGGCAGAACTCCACGACTCCAGGAAGTGGCCCCGAAGCTTGCCACAACGTAAGGGGGCCGTGGCCAATTACAGCCAACGTCAGTTGAGCGTGGACGATTAGTCCCAAGCCGAAACATTACATATTAAAATGTTTAAAAATATTTATTTCTTTTTAACGATAGAATATAGTATGGTCATCAGTATGACATAAGTATACCAAGTTTGCAGTCGATACCACATTGGCAAGTGGGTTAAAATTGAGTTACAATATTTGAGGATACAACAGAGTTCATCAAAAGCGTGTAAAAATAAGTTTGTTCCCGTGCAAGGAACCGGTGATTGTGCACAAGGAGGGGAGGGAATGGTTCGGAGCAGCAGGAGAGATTGAGAGCGGAGCGGGCGGGAGGGGACATAAAAGGAGTCTAGGGAAGCGTGGCAAGGCCATGAAGAGATTTGAGTTGCAGTATTCCCCATGTTTACCCAGGGCAGGTGCACCGAGTCCCAGTCACGTACTCGTTTTCAGGCGGGCCCTGCTAAGTTGTCACGATAGGGGGGGGGGCGATTTTACTGTTTCCCGCTGTGATTCCAGTTGAGTAAATTTGCAGGACATTGTTCAAAGCCGGGATGTTTGGCCCAAACAAATGCTGCCGGTGAAACCTAAGTCTGGCAGTCCAAAAGGTCAACAGGCTGATTAATAGACCATGGGCAGAGGTGGTCTTCAACCAGCAGTGGATAAAACATGGCTGATGGCTCACTGTATGAGGTTGTAAGCCATCACGTAACCCTTGCAGCACCTGGCAACAAACATAAAAGCAATGTGGATAGAGGCAGAGTACATCACATTGCAGAGGGTAAACCAGAAATTGTGACATCCAGATTTTTCCAAGTTGGTTAGACTTGAGGAGGCGACTGGGGCAGTATCACAAACCATGGAGGGGATGCAGCATGTGATCGCTTAAGTCAGTCTAGTTTCAGTCATTGGGTCAAATGGAGAGCCGCTTCTACGCTTTGGACATTCCGTTGTTTGCATGTCACTGTGTTGCTCTGTGGAATCGCGGTGTACAAGGTGACATCAGTGTCGCGTAACATCACAGTGTACCGCGTGACGGGGTGGTGCACCCACGTGGTCATTTCGCAAGAAGGCATTGACGCGGCACACAATGGTGAATTTATTATCACAAAATGGGTCCAGCTTCAACTTTTTCTCATAAAGAAATTAGTAATATGAACAGACAATAACCCATTCACCCTAACGAGTAGTTTTTAAGATATAAATAACACAAACCTACTTTTTCAACGTCCCACAAAGTATTTCCTTCTTGTACAGCCCGTTAGGTTGGAAATGAAAACAAAATATACAATGCTATTTTCAATGTAAAATGTTACTAATTGTAAAAGAATACACGTCATACATGGGATTGAACACCAAGAAACATGAAAACCAACTGTACACATCCGTGACGCCTTGTAAATACACGCTTTTGACTTTTAAAGGAACACCAAGAGAAACAAGCTTTCAAATCAAGTCCATTAAGTGAGGCTTCACTGTTGATGCTGCCAAAAACAATTATACACTTTTGTATATTTTGCAATTGTGTTCCCCCGGTTGCCCCTCCCCGCCCCCGGGCCAATCACGGTAAGATGGTCCACTGGCCCTCATCCAATGGGTGATTACCAATCAGTTGAGTGCATGCAGCAGCAAGGAAACTGCGAGTTCCCTGAACAGGTTTATCACGAAACTAATTCTGATTGTGCACAAAGCAATAAACCACCTCTCTGCACAAATGCAGTCGGCTTCACAGATCGAGCCAAGGGATGCATGGGAAAACGTACCAGTGCTGACGACGAGATACTGGATTATTCACCACCCCACGATGAAGTCACCCTGATTTCCATCCCACCACCGGTGTTTTAAATAGCCTCGGTTCGATATTGGACTGGCAGCCCCGACAGTTCGAGGATCATTCATGTGAATTTTTGAACATGTTATTTTAATTTTATATTCGGCATGGTATATTCGTTATATAGTTTTTCAATTGTGCATTCCTAAATATATGTAAATGTTTAAGGGTGATTAGTAAAGAAATAAAACTTGCAGAAGTGAGAGAGGGGTGACTCGGTACATGTGCCTCGTAAAAATCTCCCTTTGGTCGCCGAATCGCACCGTCCCTGATCCTCGGCCACGGAAGGGCTGCGGTGGGGTTGTGTCGCCGCAATGGCCGCGGCGGTGCTGGCACTACGAGGACTGGCACTGCACGCCCGAGCGCCGCGGGCCATGGCCCTCCTCCTCCTCCTGGTAGGCCTCGTTCTTGTAGCGCCGCTCCTCGGACACGGGATCGATGTCAATGAGCATCGCCTCCTCCATGTCGCCCGTGATCAGCGCCTCCTGCCGCGGAGGCAGCAGCGCCTCCAGCTGGGCCAGGCCGTGGATGGGCAGGAAGCCCGACGGGGGGAATACGACCTGGTGACAAAGTGGAGATGCCCGCCCCCCATTGAGCCTCCTGAACTACAAAGTGTCGTGACGACGCACGAGGGAGCGGAACGGCCACTGTCACCGCCCGCTGTGCCGATGCTGAGGCCTGCGCGGGGGGGGCCCACTCGTGACCCTTATTTGCGCTGCCCGGGGTTTTCGACATTTTTACAAACTAACGTGCTCGTCGCACAAAGAAAACCTCACGGTTCAAAGTCAAGGATGCTGTAAAAAGATCTCCAATGTGTATCGCTGGATTGACCAGTCAAATCAAGCATAGTTGGTATACAAATTTACTCCTGCAATTTGACCTCAAGAGATCACTTGGTAGCACCATTTGTGATTAGGTTCATCTGATCTCTTATGTTCTTATTACTTAAGGTAAGACCTGGACAATGTCAGTCGGCTGAGTGTTTAGGGGGCTCATGCTTTGCCTGTGCCCAATCACTTCAACAATACACAACTGTGACCCTGGGTTTGAGAATCCATCAGGCCTCAAATGTGAATTAAGCAAGCTTGCATTTTTCAGAATCTAGCATGCTTTGCTTTTCACCGAGATGCAAGTGGTGAAAAAACTGGAGATAAAACCTAGGACGAGGTTGACATCATATTAACGCTTTTGAATGCGATCCCATGTGTTGATGTCAAATCATCGGTTGGGGGTTACGTGACTTACTTTGAACTGGATGATCAGACGGCCCTTCTCGAATGGGTTGCGGAGGATAGGCATGCCCTCGTTCAAGATGCACTTCACCTCTCCGTGTTTTATGACTTCACCTGCACAGGGATATCACCGCATGTCAAGTCGACCAGCAATTGAATCGGGACCGGACACGGTCGATGCGGCCACCTGACGCACAAAATGGCGCATCAAAGATTCGGCGGCCTGCGAGTGTGCGGCCACGAATCCCAAACCATCAACCCGCATCATAAAGAGTCTGCCACTGCTGCTGCTGTCTTCACTCCTTTAAAGGAGGTATGGTCGAGATCCACTCTGCTCCTGAACAAACAATTGAGTGGATAACATCTAAAATTACATCTTTAATCTGCTATTAATCCATACGAAAGAAGAAGACCGCGTGTTACGACGATGCCATTAAAGAGAAAAAAACACCGAGACAGGACGAGGTGATCAGGATGTGGACACTGGGATCAAACCGTGAGCCGATATTGGAGATTTAAACTCGGCTCTGGAATGTCGATCGTTTGTCTGGTGACAAACCATGCGGGGGGAAAAAAACTGCACATTGTACTTTTAATTGCCCAAGTCCCATTTGTGAAGGGTTTTATTTCTGAACGGGCACAAAAGGGTTACAATCAGATGATGATTCGATTTTAGGCCGCTTTAATTTCAGCAATAGTTGAATGCAGGTGTTTTTCCAGACCAACGTCCATCTGCAGAGGTTTAGACAATCTAGTGGTTGTGAAGTAAGAGACCCGTGAACGGTGTTGCACGAGGGACTTGCAGCATCACTTCCAGGTTATCCTCCACTCTGTTGGCAAACAGCTGGGAAATGTTTGGCTCTGGGCACTGTGTGCGCACCGGGGTGGGACGTGATGACGATCACTCGGTCGTCCAGCGTCGAGATCGGTCTCTGGAAGCCGCACAGTGCCTCCACCAGCTCGATTTCCATCTCCCTGATGAGATCCTGCCCTTGCCTGGCGAACACATGCAACAAAGGGTCATTCATCTGTCCAGATCAGTCTCAAAATTCTCTCAAAGAGGGTCCTACATTGGGAATAATGGGTCAAATTCTGTACGATTGGACGGAGTGCTTTAAAGTGGGGGAAGAAAACCAGAGTATCCAGAGACAACTCACACACGAGGGGAGAAAGTGTTCGTGGGTTCGAGCCAGACCATGACACCAGCTGTATATTTGGAGTTTGTCTCTCTCTGTCTCCCCATGGTCGCGTGCATTTATTTCCGGGTCCTCCCGTTTTTCCCTCCATATTTAGAAACCAACATTTGTTCAGGGTATTTGGCTGCTATACATTTCCTCATGATAAACCACTTTGCTGAGCTATCATTTGTGGCCAGGTCGCTTCTGAAGGAGCTACAATAGCTCAGTGTGGCCTTACCTGGAAAACTAAAAAATATATATTTTTTGAGATTTCCAAACATCCTGGCCACCTCCCATCCTGTTTCTGAGTTTCCCAAATCTATGCAAACCACCAACCCTCGCATGCAAGGCACTGCATTGCAGGTATGCATCATTATGCGTGGAGTGCAAAACCGCAGACACCTAAAGGGGCCAACCACGCGGCTGAGCTGCAGCGCGTGGGGGGCGGTAGCTTGATGCCACCTCGGAATTTTTACTCTGGGTGTAATTTTTACTCTGGGTGTAATTTTTACTCTGGGTGTAATTATTCACTCCCACACCGCCGACTTGCTGTCACGGATAGTCGCCATTTTCTTCAGGATTAACTTTGAGCGACGATCGGGGTCCTCCGGTTTTTCACGAACACAAGTAGAGAAACACTGATTCGCAATTCGATTCACATAGCACGAACTTAATAAATAATCATTTAATCGTAGCACCATTGCACCCCTGTTCATAAACCAAAATCCAATTTACACGACGATTCAAGGTTCGAGTTTATTTTGTTTAATGAGGGGAGAACTCAGGAGACAAAGAAAGTCTCAAAAGCTCGAGTGACCTGGGTCGCCGAACTTACAAGCGCTATAACATTATAAACAGAGCATTGCACAATGCAGCCAATAGACATTGGCGCAAAAAAACCCAAGGAGGTCACCAATAACGCGTACCGCTACTCAAGCTCGCTTTGAATGGAGAGTGGCAACTGTGGGAACGCGGACCGTGGTCGAGTGGCTGCTGACAAGTTAACTTGCGGCGTGCCCCCCAACGAGAGCGTGCCCCCCACGCTCGCGTGCCCCCCACGCTCGCGTGCCCCCGCACGTGGGTTCCATGCCGTGCAGGCCACCTGACTCACCGGTGGAACACAGGGTGCTCCTTCTGCTCAAGCACGATGATGACGTCCCCGGGCTCCAGCCCAGGCTCCTGGTCGCCCTCGCCGCCGAACTGGATCTTCTGTCCGTCCTTCATGCCTACGCCGGCGACAAAATAGCAACTCTTAATTTACTACCCGCAGTCACCAACAATTGCGTAAAAATCCGATTACATTTGCTGTTCCACTTAACTCTGGAAATACTAGTTTTCCAAATACACTTGTCAGTAGTTGATGCCCTCTCCGGACCTCAAAGGTGACACCATCTTCCACAATCCATCTAAAGACACTGCTCACAGTGCCCCCTAAACATATTTTACTAACATAATATAGGTTTTAATGTGGGTTGGATCACGCAAATATAAATGTCGTTAAAGCCGCCACTACCCGACAGCCAATTAGTACGGTTTGTCACGTAAACGGAACATGCGAATTCGTTACTAGTACAGCAAAGCCACAACATTTACATAGGGCAACAGCCACATCTGGCTGTTGCCAAATGAAGCTAGTAACGAATTGGCATGTTCTGTTTACGTGACAAACCTCACTCATTTGCTGTCGGGTTTAACGACACATTTATATTCGCGCGATCCAACCCAAAAAACATATCTAATGGATGAAATTGGTCGCAAACGCCTACGTGTTAAACTGATCTTTTTAACTAACTTGCGCCGATGTGGCCCACTGCCAGCGCAGTAACCATAACTCTTCACCGCACCACCCCCGTGTGCGGGCACCCCATCAAAACTGCTCGCAGGTTCGGCCCCGAGACCGCAGAGTCGTGGCCACTCACCCTTGTCGATGTGCACCTCCAGGACCTTCTTCTCGCGCACCACCTTGCGGCCCTGGCACTGCTTGCAGCGATCGCGGGCGTCGATCTGCTCGCCCCTGCCCTGGCACTCGTGGCACACCGACTGGATCTGCTGCACCATGCCCGGCCCCAGCTGCTGGATGCGCACCTGCATGCCCGTGCCGCGGCACACGCCGCACGGCTTCACCGCGCCTTCCTTGCCGCCGCGGCCTGAGCACGATGACAACAAACGCACGCCGCGGGGGGACGTCAGCACCGCGGGGCTCGCCATCGCGGGGCGACTCCTGACCGTCATCACCACCACCGCACGGCTGCTTTGTGGCGCGCAATGCAGGCCCCCCGCGTGCCGGCATCTAGACGAGCCGCTTATTCGTAAATTGTCGCCGCGAATTTGCTCGCTTTCGGCGTTGTTCCCGGATCACAAGCGTTGTGCGTGACAACGATTGCATCTTCACGTATTTCATCTTCAGAAAGCCTCACTGGCTCCTTAACCTCTTTCAAGAGGGCGCTGCGTTGGGATGTTTCGGCAATTGCCTTTTAAGCGGGCGATTTTGTGCGCGAAACGAAAAAAATCCGAAAAATTCTGCCTGGAATCAAACCCATCGCCTGTGAACTATGCACAGACTCTGTGCTTTGCGTGTAGCCGGTAAACAGAGAAACACAGCAGGTTACAGGCAGCTGGCCAGCCAAAAATTGTTGGACCAGGCAGGCAACCATATGCCTTATCTCGTGAATGGTAAGGGTTCATTCATGGGCCCCCTCCCCCCTTGGCTTCTGGACATTCATTTGAATGGTTCTTGTTTGAGACTTTAACTACCTCGCCTGATATGCAGGAAGTCTGTGGGTTCAATCCCGACCGACACCTGCTCTATATTTGGAGTTTGCGTGTCTCTCTCCCCGTGGTTGTGTTGATTTTTCCCCGGGTCCTCTGGTTTTTCCCTCCACATTTTATAAACGTGCTTTTAGAGTATTTGGCTGCTATACATTTCCGCGTGATAAGCCACTTTGTTGATTTATAATTTGTGGCCAGTTTGCTTCTGAAAAAGAGCTATGCCTTCCCTGGTAAAATAAAAATTGTTTAGTTTTAAACTGTCAAATAATCTCAAAAGACACTGTACGGAAAGCACTGCCAAAAACATCACCTATACAGGTAGTCCCCGACTTACGATGGAGATGCGTTACGATGACCCCATCGTAAGTCGAAAAAGGCCAAGCCTACCCAGGAGTCTTAAAGAATGGTGATAATTTAGCAAAACAGAGCAATTTACAGTACCGTACTGTATAAACTATCTACTGTATGTATTTATTAATTACAATACTGTATTGCACAGTAAAATTTTAAGTAAAAAACAAGGTAAACTTAGCCTGCCTATATGAACTGCAATTTCATAGAAAGTTTTTTTTCAGGAAACAATCCTATCTGCTATAAAAAACTTTTAACATGCATTGAACGTATCGTAACGTATTATATTCTACTGTACTCACCAACATTCTGTTCGTCGTCTGCATACTTGAACGATGTTAGGTTGTTGATGGCAACATTAACTTAGTTGTCGGAAGAGGAGGATGGCGATGATCAAGTTACAGTATCGTACCTCGTACGCTGCTGCGTTTGCCTGCCGCGCGAAATTAAAAATATTTTACAATTTTGTCGTATCGCTATCGCCATCGTAAGATCGAAATATCGTAAGTCGGGGACTACCTGTATCTATTTTCCTTTAGAGGCCATACGCACGGTGTTATTGATCAACGTGTGGAGTTTTCTGCGTCGCAAATGAGGGCAACGTAACACGGAGCCGAGCGCGCTCCCACACCTCGCTGGCTCAACAGCGGACCGCCATAGCGGCTTGGACACGGGGGACCGGGAGAGGAGGACAAACAACAGCGAGAGATCTGGGCACCCCCCACCACCACCACCACCACCACCGCCGCCGCCGCCCCGTGCTCACCATCACATTTGTTGCAGACGACATTCTTCTGTAGCGCCAGCTTCCTCGTGGCGCCGTTGTACATTTCCTCCAGCGAGACGGTGAGCTGATGCACCATGTTCTTCCCTGCAGGGCGCGCGCACACACACACACCGACCGTTCAGTGCCTCACGTTCAGAGACCGAATAATGATGATTGCATCACTTCATTAGGCCTCTCTATCCATCCACACTGGGAGCACACCCTTTTACATCACCATCTAGAGATGTCGGTCACATGACAAAACGGGAATGTTGTAATCCTGACAGCTGCCAAAGTGTCGTATGACGAGCACGTCAAAAGCAGTAATTGTTATTTCTTCTTTGCAACCATTGATGACTGGGTAAAGATCAGTAGCTCGCTTAAAGTCAAAGTAATTTATTGCTCAAATGAGCATCGAGGTGATGATAGTGGTGGAAATTCCACAATCCTATGGCAGGGGGAAATCTCTCCCACTGACCACCACTGCGGACTTCCGTACAAAGTGGTACTCATCTTATTGACCCGAGCCTCCCCCACCACCGAGCGATAGGCTACGTCAACCACCCAGCCAGGATGTGGACTCACAACCTTCTGATTGCGAGCCGCCCGCTCTGCCACCGACAGTCCACTACACCCAGGTATACCTCGACTCGCACTCACCATCTCCCAATCAGAACACTTACTTACACTGGAGGAATTCAATGAGCTACAAAGCCCTTTTTCACAGATGTTCCAATACCTTTCGGCAGCACGAACCATCATCTCCAAGCCGCCGAGAAGGGGGGGGGGGGGGGGGTAGGCGCGTGTCAGCCTCGCTTCGTTACCTTTGCGCTCACGCTGCGCACGGCTTCCCCCGCCAAAGAACATGTCGAAGATGTCCATGGGGGAGCTGAAGCCGCCGCCGCCACTCATGCCGCCCTCCTTGATGGCCTGCTCGCCGCCCTGGTCGTACAGCTCCCTCTTCTTGGGGTCCGACAGCACCTCGTACGCCTGGGAGATTTGCTTGAACTGCACGAAGCACACGCACGGCGGGGCGAACGCGTCAACGGCCACCCATCCACCCCCCCCCCCCCGCCCATCTTTTGTCGCGAGAATTTTGGATACGCGGTTGGTGACGCTAATGGCGTTGGTTTGCGACGGCCTACATAGTGGTCAGCTCGCCAGGCAGGCATGTCCAAGCCATCGGCTCGTCACTTGGCCAGCGGGGACCACAGCCCCAGCAGTGCCGTGTCTGCGCGCGGCCTTGTGTTGATATCTGGCGGTGGGGACGAGGCCAGAAATACGACAGGAGGCCGCCTCATATTGCAACCGATACCGTTCAGGCGGCACTTAAAGCACAATTAAGGACTTCAAAAGGTGTACCTCACAATTGATTTCTAAGATATATCCACCTCAGGAATGCAGGGCATCTAAATCCCTTCCTCCATTCAGATGGTGGTGACCGAGCCCAGGAATCCATTGCTGCGTAGATCGTAAAATGTTATTCGCAATGAGCGAGCAACATTTAAATTACATTTCAGTAAGAGCCTGCTACATATCACAAACTGCAATGCAGGGGGTGAGAATTTTACTTTTATATAAATTAGTTATTTAGTACGACTTAATAGAATAGGTTTTTTATTAATGATTGTATTAAAAAAAACAGACAAATCAAACTTTGTAAATGCTTGTCACAAAAATCAGCGGCACCTCCGTGAATAGAAAATCAGATTACACAGTAAAACATCTGACTTTGCACATTTTACACAATGTTTCAATAAAACCAGGCGCAACACAAAAATCAAAGCGCCTTGTTGTAAAGGATGTAGTAAAAATAATACTCCAGTTGCCGGACAACCAATGCTGTCAGCAAGGACGCCACACACAGTGAGCCCTGCATATTGGCTAATGCACAGGGACCCGAGACACAGCCCAGGGTCCGGGTTACACGTGGAACGTTCTGGACACAGCAACGAGCAGAGAGGGTCTGCAACGCGGCGCCATCGTCAACACCCCTCACGCGGAGCGCAACGTCTGTGTTTATTTTTCGATTTAAAGCTTTCGTGACTGCAATGATTCATCTTCTTTGGTTCTTTCGGTAAAGTAACGTATCAATTTATTATTTTATTCTGAGTCTGTGTTTATGTTTAGTGACTGATCCACCCTCTAGCCTTCAGCAGACCGTTGGGTCAAATGCTTTTAGCGAGCGCCTATGAAGGCCGGTACGGCGCACGAGGGCTGGGTAGTGTTGCCAGAACCAGCCTTTGTCTCCCTAGTGGTGATGTTTACACTCATTTGAGGCCGAGTCGACCTAGGGGAGGCCCAGGACCGGTTTAAATATTCGCCACTGTATTGATCGTGAGCGGGAATCAAAGTCGGGTCTTTGGCTCCATAGCGCAGTGAGTGCGCTAACCATTGCGCCACCACTCCCCGAAAATCCAAAAAACAAAGATAAAGATCCCCCGTATAGTCTTAACAGATTGTTGGGGTGTTGTCAGCGAGCACCTATGAAGGTCGGCACATTACTCCCGGCCGCCTTTGTCTCCCCAGTGGTGATGTTAACACACCACACACCAGGTACTAATTTGAGTCTGAGGCGACCAAGGGGAAGCCCACGACTGGTTCAGTTAATCATCACTGGTGTTGGCCGTGAGCGGGAATCAAACTCGCGTCGCCGGGTTCGTAACGCAGCATGTCAATCACTCCACTAATGCTCCTACGCACATACACCCCCTGGTGGCACCAATACCAATACCCGCCATTCATCACTAAGTGACGTCACCACAGCGCAACTGGCCTGTACCAGGCCAGGTGCACTTTGAGGCCACGTGAAGTGTTGAAGGCTCGCTGACAAGTCACGGAACAGACTCAGGTGCCATAGGCTTGCCGACTGAGATGACGACTTGCAGATGTACCAGCCGTACCCTCTACTGTGCCAACTTGCTGCATTTTAGCCGCCCGGCGCTCCGCTCATTGTTGTGAGCAACGCTCCTCTGCCCTCTGTTGCTGCTGGAGGGCGACTCCCTCTCCAATTTCCCATACACACGCAAACACACACCGCCAACTACAAGCAGAGCATGAGCACACAAATGATTGCAGCACCAGCAGCGGGCGGGGGGGGGGCATGCGGCACAAGCGCAACCTCTTCACCTTCTCGCCCTCGTTGGGGTTCTTGTCCGGGTGATACTTGAGGGCGAGCTTGCGGTAGGACTTTTTGAGCTCCTCGGTGGAGGCGGAGGGCTGCACGCCCAGGATGTCATAGTAGGTCGTCTCTTTCACCATCGTGGCTCAGGGATCTTGGAACTGTGAAGAAAAAACGCTTATTTATATTTTTAAGAGTACCGTCGATGCACGTTTTGAGTTATCGCCGCAGCCAAGTGATCCTCAGGCAGCATGTATGTAATGTTTGAATAGTTTAATAGGAAATCATTGGTTTTACCCTTCCTGGCAATAAAACAGGAATAGGTAAAACCTATTCTTGTATTTTGATACTGGCAAGGGAGGTCCCATGATGTGGTTTCATAGTAACAAAATTATTGATTGTTAAAATATAATTTATTTTTGAATGCATCCTTTTTATTTCGAAAGCCCTTTTTGTCTTCATAACTATTTTTAAAACAGCCACTGGAAGGTTCTGCCGTGCCCCGTGGCGCCCATCTGCTCGGAATCTTCCAGAAAGCCTCCCGGCTCCGAGCATCCAGCTTTTCTCAATACCGCCACAAAACGACTCGCAAACAATCCACCAAAAAAAACACGCGCCAACAGTCTTCGGCTCGACTCCTGTTAACTACAAGTCCCCAAAAGCAGCCACGTTTCTGAAATGTACTCAATGGCCATTTGCATGCAAGGGAACAATTTTACCAACACAGCCCGATCAGCTTTCCAGCGATTCTCACCAACACGGGCTAAGGAATGTCCCCTGGCGTTCACTCGCTTTATTATTGCGCTTCGCTATAATTGCGCTTTTTTTAAATGTCGCGTCTCAAGATTGTCAACTTCGCAAGAGAATAAGATTCGATTAATTACGCACGTTACACCATTTACAATCTGATTGGCTTATCATCGGTAACACGTACACCATTTACAATCTGATTGGCTTATCATCTGTAACTCCCGCTTCTTGCATGCTAACTTAGCGAAGCAGTCGGCGTAACTTAAACTTTTCTATGTATTTACGAACATCGTTTATTTAGGCATACTGTAGCTGCATTGCGCGTTCAATACAGTTTAACGCGTTTTAAGGCTTTTAGATGCATTCGCATGCGACTCGCTTTATTGCTATTTTGGTTTATTGCGGTGTTCTGGTCCCCAAGGGGCCATCACACCGAGGTTCGCCTGGACAGAGACATTACAAATGCCCGAGCCACACGAGACAAATATTAATGGGGGGGAGGGAACACACGCGCCTGGGGCAATCTTGCCACAGTACCGAGATTGTTAACTACCTCGCCTGATATACAGGAGGTTGCGAGCTCGATCCCGACCCTGACGCCTATCTATTTGGGATTGTGTGTGTGCGTCTTCTGTCCGTGGTCGCATGGATTTCTCTCCCGAGTACCATCAGATTTGTCCCTCCACGCTCAGAATGAACACGCGTTCGGAGATCTTGACCGCTAGAAATGTCCACGCGACGGGCGAGTTCGTCGAACTATCGTTTGTGGCAAGGTCGCTTCTGATTTTTTTTTTTAAATCTTCTTTGGTTCTTTCGGTAAAGTCACGTAGAATGAGAATAAAATAATACATAAAATAACACAATAAAATTCTCACGACGTTTCGGCCACAACACAATTGGCCTTCAGAAGGCCACTTCTGAAGAAGGCCACTTGTGTTGTGGCCGAAACGTCCTGATAATTTTATTGTTATTTTATTAATTTATTATTTTATTCTCATTCTACTTGACTTTACCGAAAGAACCAAGGAAGATGAATCCTTGCAGTCACGAAAGCTTTAAATCGATTTTTTTTTAAAAAAATTTGTTAAAATATATTTTGTTGCTGTAATGGTTTAATTATGCGACAAGTCACCGTTCACCAGGAGCCGGCGGGTGGCGCTACAGGCGACTCGGTGGCCGCCTCCGCATGCTCGCGACACCTCGCCGCAAAGTTGCCGAGAGCCAATTCTGGAAAGTTCCAGTAGCCGCGTGAACTTTCCACACGGGTCACGAGCGCCCGAGGTGAAAACGCCGCTTAAACTTTGGCCGCGCGTTACACTGAAGTGTGAACGTTCACACACGAGTCAACGTTAGCACATGCGAACGTTAACACGAGTGAATGTTCACACGCGGTTCCGTTCACACGAGGTTTGTACACACACGAGTGAACGTTAACACGAGGTATGTACACACACACACGAGTGAACGTTAACACGAGGTATGTACACACGTGTTAACGTTAACACGAGTGAACGATAACACGAGTGAACGATAACACGCAGTACCGTTCACACGAGGTGTACACACACACACGAGTGAACGTGTGCACACCAGGTTATGTACGCACGAGTTAACGTTGACACGAGTCAATGGTTTCAGGTTCGAGCGTTACACGCGGTGTTTATTATATTGCCATTGGCGGCTGTATGTTGTGAAGTTCTTTCGCACCGTACGTAGCCAACCGTCCTAATCGAAGATTCGTGATCAGGTGCGTTACTGTTAAAGCTAACGGGGTCACACTAGGTCAAGGTCATTGTCCATGTTTAAAGTTCACAGGTACATTCGCTTGCACAGAACGGCTCAAGCGAGGTGCAGCACTTGGCCGCTGTGAATTCCCACGCGACAAGAGCCACTGCGTTGAACCATGATTTGTGGGGCAGGTCGCTGCTGAAAACGATCTCTGCCTTAGCTCAGTGGGCCTTAGAAGATCTTGGTTTAGCTTGCAAAGGAAGACAAAGCGACAATTCGGAGGAGTTTATCGCAGTCGCCTCAAGTCCAGCATCAGAAACGGGACTCGGAGAGAGGTGGGAGGGAAACAATAAACCGGTTTATTATCGCGCTGAACCAATTGGCCCTTCGTGCAAAGCCAGGTTCAACCGGCTCACTTCTCAACACGGCCTGGCGGACACAGCGCGATTCCCCTCGCGTCCGAGAAGCCCAAACCCGTGGGTGCTGTCCGCGTGCTGCTGCTGCTGCTGCACGGACAGCACGCGGACAGCACTCCGCTACCCCACGGTTACCCCACGGCTACCCCACGGCTACACTGGTTACCCCGGGGTTAGTCACCGCCCCTCACTCCCCAGCTAGTCACCCCTGGGTGAGGAGGGAGAGAGTGCTCACCTGCGCAGCGTGCGAGTTACAGGTTGGGAGTTCTCAAGTTCTTGTTCGCAGTGGCGCGGACGAGCTGGACAGCGGAGTTCCGAATCAACTAACTAATGCCTCCACACACGCACCGGCTCCCTCTCTCGCGAGCCACCGACTGGGTTCAGGGCACGAACACCACAACAAGCGGCTCAAAGCGAGACCCACCAGGCGCACGACTCTACACGAAGCGGCTCACAGCGAGACCCACCAGGCGCACGCCTCTACACCAAGCGGCTCACAACGTGACCCACCAGGAGCACGACTCTACACCAAGCTGCTCACAACGTGACCCACAAGGAGCTCGTCTCGCGTGGCCTCCGCCACCCCCCGCTCGCTCTTTATGGGCGCGCGCGGCCGTGGGCGGGGACAGAAGATTCTGGACGGGGGCGCGACCATTGGCGCCGGAAATGGAGGGGGGGTTCTTAGATTCTCGTGTGGACGTCTGCAACTTAACGTTGATTGTATGTACGCTGAACCTCTTTCGCGCCGTACGTAGCCAACCGTGATAATCGGATTTGCGAATAATCGGAGGTGCATAAACTGGTCAACCCCATCCCCGCTTGCTGGGGAGTTTGCCGGGCTTGGCTTCACCAGTTTATTGCGGGCACGACTGACGATGCGACTTGGTTGCGTCCGTCGGGGCCCCGCCCGCCTGCTCTGCAACTGGTTTCGAGCGATCGCTGCTGCTGAGGCTGTCACCATCCTAGAATCTCACCGCCCAGATCGAGAAGAACGCTGCTGCTGCTGATGTCACCATCCTAGAATCTCACCACCCAGACCGAGAAGAACGCCGCTGCTGCTGCTGCTGATGTCACCAGCCCAAGAATCTCACCGCCCAGACCGAGAAGAACGCTGCTGCTGCTGCTGTCACCAGCCCGAGAATCTCACCGCTCAGATCGAGAAGAACGCTGTTGCTGCTGCTGGTGTTACCATCCTAGAATCTCACCGCTCAGATCGAGAAGAACGCTGCTGCTGCTGTGCCAACAGAGTGGAACAACGCGGACGTCCAGAATAGACGCCTCTCATTCGAGACCCAAAACATCGTGGTACACCTCCTCCTGCCTTTGACATTCCACCTCCTCGAAAACCCAGCTGGGGGGACCACCAACAGCATCAAGGGCATGAACAGGCCGCTTCGCGTACATCTCTTTAATAACTAGAACACTTTAAGACGAGCCACAGTAGTGAGATTGTGGCCACGTTCAGGAGGTGCTGTATATGTGTCAGGAGAGAGTTATTTTCGTTCTGATGTTTCGTCTCCGTTTAAAACGCGCAGCAGACTACGGAGTTCAGTATACGGTGCATAGCTTGGCAACACAGTCGAACTTGTGGCTTCTAACATGGGGGTTGTTAATTCTCTTTTTGTGTTTAGTTTGTTGTCCTTCCCCAGCACCCCCCGATTAGCACGGTTGGCTACGTACGGTGCGAAAAAAGTTCAACATACGTAGGTACATTGATTCGCCCATACTTCACGTTCGCCTATTGCAGGTTGGTAAAAATGAGTTGGCGGGTATGGGGGCAGGACCGGGTTCACCCATCACTCGCCACTGATGTTCGCCGTGGCTGTGAATCGGGAGTTTTACTCTTGGTGCATGCACATAGCAAGGAAGTTCCACGTCTCATTTCTCTTACACGCGCCTACAACTGGGCGCGCTGATCTTCTAGAATGGTGGGCGAGTGGGGCAAAGTCTGAAAATCAATTACTTCATACAACGTCGATCTCGGTACCATCACACTCACCTAACACTGCGCGATGTATTAAGTGCGCTTCTTCGTAAGGGGCCGTCCATAAATGACGTCACGCGATTTTGGACGATTTTTGACCCCCCCCCTTCATCACACGACGTCACAAAAAGTCAGACCCCCCCCCTCCTCAAATATGACGTCACAAAGCTCTGCCCATTCCCCCCAAAAAAATAAAACATGCTTCAAATCGCTTTAAACTATTCTTTGTAGTGCGTATTTAATGTGCCGCTGCACTCTGATGTTGTAGGAGAAAACATTTATTAAAACGTATTTAAGTTGCGCATTTTGATGTGACGTCACATTTCTACCCCCCCCCCCCCCGTCACACATCGTCACAAATATCTGACCCCCCTCCCCCCCTAGGTGCGTGACGTCATTTATGGACGGCCCCTAAGTCTACTGCTGGATGATGGCCTCCCTATCTAGGGGGTTGTTTGGCCATACTTCGCCACGCTGGTCAGTGCCGAGTTGAAGGGTGTGTGCACCAGTCCGGACACCACTCGGCAAGCATGTCGAGAAGCAGTGGCCGGGAATTCAACTCAGATTGTCGGCTTCATTTACTTGTGCGCCAGCCACTTGCGTGCCCGCCGCACTCCAGTAAGGAGTATTTCACAATGGGTGAACGTGGTGACGCTGCTGCACAAGCACAGCGAACAACACTCGACACATTCAATAACCCCTGCCGGCACCGCTGCTGCTGGTCACGGCTTAACACTCGGCCAGCCGTCCCAGGCAGGCTGCCTCTAGAAGCGCCCAGCAAACACCCAGCCCCGCCTCAAGGCGAGATGGAAAGTTCTGGAGAGAGCGAGGCTCGCGCGCTCAGCCTCTCCCCTCTTCCCCTCCCACCCCACTCCCTCCTCCCACTCCCCCCTCCCACTCCCTCTCTCCCCTCTCCCCCCTCCCACTCCCCTCCCACTCTCTTCCCCTCCCACTCTCTCCCCTCCCTCTCTCCCCTCCCACTCCCCCCTCCCACTCCCTCTTTCCCCTCCTACCCCCCTCCCACCCCCCTCCCTCTCTCCCCTCCCCACTCCCACTCCTCTCTCACACCCCCTCTCTCCCCTCCCATCCCCCTCCCACCCCTCCCTCACTCCCCTCCCACTCCCTCCCTCTCTCCCCTCCTATCCCCCTCCCTCCCACCCCCCTCCCTCTCTCCCCTCCCACCCCCTCCCCCTCTGTCGAGGAACTCGAGAGGAATTGAAGGAGCGCACCAAAACCACGCGCGACAAGTCCGGGGAGGCTGCTCCTGCTGAGTTGGCGCTGACAAGGTGGAGAGGGCTCCGTCGTGTAGAGGGCGTGCCCTCGCCAACAACGCGTGGCTGCGAGTGTTGGGGGCCGTCCATGAATGACGTCACGCACCGGGGGGGGGGGGGCGGGGGTCAGACATTTGTGACGATGTGTGACGAGGTTGGGGGGGGGGGTTCAGAAATGTGACGTCACGTTAAAATGCGCAACTTTAAATAAATATAGACAACACGTTCTACTTAATTAAATAGACTTTTTAATAAATGTTTTCTCCTACAACATCAGAGTGCAGCGCCACATTAAATACGCACTATTATGGCAATGGTTTAAAGCGAATTGAAGCATGGTTTTTTTTTGGGGGGGGGGGGGCAGAGCTTTGTGACGTCATATTTGAGGGGGGGTCTGACTTTTTGTCACGCCGTGTGACGAAGGGGGGGGGGGTAAAAAATCGTCCAAAATCGCGTGACGTCATTTATGGGCGGCCCTTAACGATCGCGAACGCCCCAGCCAATCGAAACTAGCACTCCAATGATAATTAGGATGCAGCCATTGCTAAGATGAGTGATCGTGCCGACGCAGTCTCAAATAACAATGTTATCGGTATAAACCAGCAGTGCCCTGGCACGGGGTGGAGCGGTGGGGCAAGTGGTTAGCGCATCGCGCCTCGACCCTGTGTGAACCCGAGTTCGATTCCCGCACAGAGATGTAACAACATCAGTGGCGAGTGGGTTTCTGAACCGACTCTGGGCACTCACTCCCTTCACCGAACCGCAGTGACCAGCATGGTGAAGCAGGATGCTGTGAATTCTAGATTTAAAGCTTTCGTGACTGCAAGGATCCATATTCTTTGGTTCTATTCGGTAAAGTCACGTAGGTAAAAAAATAAAACAACAAAAATCACGACGTTTCGGCCACAACACAAGCGTCCTCGAGACAGCCTGATCCCTTCACCTGATGAAGGCCGCTTGTGTTGTGGCCGAAACGTCGTGATTTTTCTTGTTTTATTTTTTACCTACGTGACTTTACCGAATAGAACCAAAGAGTATGGATGATGTGCTCAAGCCACCCCGATAGCGACACGCCGTGGGATAGTCTTCATCCAGCAGTGGATTGACCCCGGGATGCGAGTTGTTTTGCGTAAACCGTAACTGCCTGTGGCCATTCCGGATTGAGTTTGTCACGTGGTTTGTGGAGTATTTTTTTCTTTTCAAAATCCCAGTTGCCGAGCACAGGCCCATCCAAGCGCCACGAGGCCAGCAACAAACAGCACGATTAGAGTGGTAATAGATGAGAGTTAAGACGTTTGTTGAATTTCAGCGAGGCAGTTGATATACTTGACTCACGCGTGTAAACGGGCCTGGTGTTTCACTACCCACGGAGCGCTGTGCGATGGACACTCCTGGGACGCCGGGTCTCCCCAAGTCGTGTGACGTCACAATGGAACCACGTGCGCGCGGGCACGGGGCGCGCGCACTGCGGGAGGCCCAGCGCCTGTACACGGAAACGATTTCATCGCTCCATCTCCTCTCGGCCGCGTTCCGTTCCTTGGGCGACACCGAGGCTGGGTTCACACAGAGCGGTGTTCTTCACTCATTTTCCAAGGGGGGCCACTTTTGCCGATAATAATACATCAGTGTGAGGGCCGCTACAGATTTGAAACCATTGTTGGGTTTGACAGCAGCACGATTATGGGGGGGGGGGGGGGTCACTCTGTGTATTGTCGGGGGCCATACTCATAAAGACCACCAGGGGCTTGCAATGACACGCACGGTTTTTTAGGCTTTCGTTTAGTGAGCGCGATCGATCACACGTCTCGCTCTCCGCTCACGCGTTCACACCACCGAATTGGAGCTTCCTGGCGTCACGGCGGCGTGCTGGGGTGCTCAGGGCCCAGACACGACGGTTCGATATTTTCCACGGCCCAAGAAAGCGCGGTGTCCAGTGACGGATTAAGCTAGTGTGGGGCCTGGAGCATATGTTATAAAGGGGCCCTAAATAAAAAAGAATATGAAAACACAAATGTTTAACTTGCATAGTAAAGTAAATGTATTTTTTCATTTGCTATACAGACGGAAAATACGACAAATCGCTAACCTTAAACACCCAGTCGTTCATAAAAGTTGAAGGCGGTATAGTACTATAGTAATAGAGCAAGTGCAGAATCACTGAACGAAAATTGATAGCGTGAAAGCATTAGGCATGGGGCCCATAGCATTTGTAGATACTTTTGTTACGTGGACAATCCGGCACCGTCGGTGTCCACCGCGAAGTGGACAATGACGTTACAAAGTAGGCGAATGCTGGTGTCAAATTATGACCCCAAACCATAACAAGATTTTGATTTAAAGCTTTCGTGACTGCAGGGATTCATATTCTTGGTTCTTTCGGTAAAGTCACGTAGAAGGGAAACAATATTTTTTTTATTATTTCATTGTTTCCCTTGTACGTGACTTTACCGAAAGAACCAAGAATACATAACTTGATTGTCAACGGTACAATGATTACACGGGAGGCCTGTAGGTCAGTGTAAGATGGCTCCGCTACTGGGCCACTGATTGCAAGTAATGGGCTCGTCCACCTAAAAATGTAAGATCCCCAAAATAGAAATCAAGATGTTGTCTCGTCTCGTTTCCACGGAGTTCTCACAATTTAAATTATATCCTAATCTAACCGATTGAGCATTCTAAATTTCTATTGAACCGAAAAAATACTTCTCTATGGATTGGATACCCCTCAATCTCAGGCATGTCGCGGTACAGAACTCTATAATGCCCACCGAGTCGCAGGGCTTTAACAGAAGTTTCATTATATCACACGCTTTGCGGGTGCCGCGGTGGTGAGATGTTAACTACCTCACCCACCCAGTATATAGGTCGTGGCTTCGATCCCGACCCTGACGCCTGTATATTTAGAGTTTGCATGTCTCTCTCCCTGGAGTCGCGTGGATTTTTGTCCAGGTCCTCCGGGGTTTCCCTCTACATTTAGAAAAATGCGTTTAAGAGTTTTGGCTGCAATAAATGTCCACGTTATAAGCCACTTTGTTGAGCTATCATTTGTGGCCAGGTCGCTTCTGAGAAAAAAAAACTATAAAGCTCAGTTGGCCTTACCTGGTAAAAGAAAAGAAAAAAGTGTATAAATTGCGTTAAAAAATAACGTGCATTCCAATAATAATAATACACTGCGCGTGGCACGTTATATTGTGCACATGTACAGAGTCATGCCCCCACAGCGCGTGGGGCGTTGTCGAAGTACGCTGTGTGGAGTGGACGCCTACATCCCTAAGATGTCTTCCGATGTAGACGGAGGCTGCCGTGTGTCAGCACAGTGGCTTGGCATTCCAAGTGTCTCATCCAAGCGGACCGGTACACGCTTGCACGGAGGACACTGAATCGGAATGGGTGTATGCACAATTAAATGCCATTCAAATTCCACAGTCATTTCAAGTAAAGGCAATTTTTTTTAGTTTATTGGACATTTCAGCACCCAAACCTTGTGGCTTTATTTTTTTAACAATGCACTTCATATAGCCGTGTAATTTCACTTTTGCGTTCAGGCCAGCAAGGGGGGTAGCGAGCTCTGTGCACGGGAGGAGCACCGAGGGGTCTTCGCGACGCCACGGCCCCGTCACGCCGAGCCGCGGGCCGTGGCGCTTCAGCCTGGACGTCGTCGCGAGCGGCTCCGCGCGGCCACGTGGGGGGTGCTGCCCCCTTCGGACCTTCAGCGGCTCTGCTGTGACCTCACCGCACAGGCCCTCCCGCTGACACTCTCGCGGGACTGCACGCTTCTATCAGACGGCAAAAAAACACATAGGTCCACGTACTCGGGAGTCAATTGTAGAGCGTTCGCGGTAATGTGGAATGGCAAACTCCGGCCGGGTTTTGCACTGCGGTTAGAGCGAACGCCTTCGCGATCGCAAAGCTGCGAGTTTCAATGCTAAATCTGGGGTCGACTCGCCCCGCTATCCCGCCAAGGTTGAGAACGCGAGCGCCACATTGCGCGCACCTGTACGTTGAACTTCTCTCGCACCGTACGTAGCCAACCGTGGCTCATCGGTGGTGCGGGGGAAGGACAACCAAACTTAAAACACACTGTGGGGAATCGACAGTGGTCGTGCTGCGTAGCAAAATTTCCACCGCCGGCCCGGCAGGGCTGCCGCACTTTGCAGCGCAGCCTCGCAGGGCGGGCCAAAGACACGCACAAGCGGGCGACATCCCTGCAACACGAACGGGCGCCCGCTCTGCGGGGGCCGTCCTTTTGCGAGGGCCATCCTTCCCCCTTTGAGGTCGTGGCACGGAGCGGTGAGCCAGGGCACAAGGCGGGACCCGTGAGCGGCCAACTCGTGACATCGAGGCTGCCAACGAGACGCGATTCTCGCTTGACCTTGGCCATGGCCGTGTTGTGACGGACATTAATAGCCGCTGACCCCCACAACCAGCAGCGTCCACGGATCGATGGGGTGCAGTGTCTATGAGCGAACGAGCTCTTCGGCTGTGACACCACTGAGCACGCGAAGCACTCCGCTCAGTCGAGAATTTGCCTTCATTTAATCCTGCACTGTGTAGTATATAAGTAAAAAAAAAACACACACAATGCAACAAGCTGGCAGGCCAGTCTCCTAAGTGAGGACGTTCTTGGTGATCACCGTCGCCGGTTATGTAAAATGAAATGGAATCGACGCGCCGCTTTGTTCCGTTGGAGTGGCGCCCGCCGTGGCGACGACAAGACCTCGCGCCCGTGACACTTTCACACCGCGGGCGGCGAGTTCGTTAACCAACACCACGCACGTTCTTTATTTTGTCGCTTACTTCTTGCAATATTTATCCAATTGAAGAAAAAAAACGTATCTCCATCTCCAGCCGTATCTCTTATGAAATATAATGCGTTGACAGGTGTTGTTTGTTGACAATTTGGGTCACCCTGTGCACCATGATAGACAAACAGAAACAACATCGTAGGCATCACAGGTCGATCGAGCAATCGCTTCCAAAGCCCCTGGCAGAAGCAACTGCCACCAGCATTGCATGGTTTGATGGCGGTTTTTTAAATCACCAAACCTCTCGTGGGAACTTGTGCTGTCGCGTATGCGATACGGCTTGTTGGGGCGGTTTCCACAGCCGACTTACAAAATTCACTCCTGTAATTATTTGGCAATGGTAAACATTGCATGAATCCCGGTCCGTGGATCGTTTAGTTTTCTGAAGGACGCATGGATCAATAGTAATGTGGTGGGTCTTTCGGCACTGCTTCAGCACAAGCTCTGGAAGCTCAATGCTGGTGCGTGCAGTCGTGGCCACATTATATCTGGTGACGCTGCTGCTGCTGATGCTGCTGCGTTGGCAGTGGTGCACACGCGCAAATAATAAAACGACGCAACGCATTAGTCAAGAAACACCGTGGCCTTAAAAAGAGAAAAATGTAAAATAATAATCTTTAAAAGTATACATTGTCGCTGGTGCACAGCACACAGAGAGGCGAGAGGCGGAGCGATCTCCACGTCTGGCCTCTCTCTGTGTGTGCTGCGGAGGCCACGGCCGTTCACCGCGAGCGCGTTGCCTTTTTTTTTCTGTTACGAGTAGCGGCAGTGTGACGCAGGGTGTGTAAAGATCCGATTCCGCGGGCCATTTTAAGCCATTCCACCAAAGATCCACGCGGTGAGCGTGACGTCACAAGGGGATCCCACTCCAACGGCTCAACGCCAATCTGTTCTTGACGCGTGCACACTATCTTTCTGTAATAATCATCCAAAGGCATTTTTATTTTAAAAAACTCAAACTGGTTTTCGTCTAGGCTTCAGAATATACACAAACAACACAAAAAGATGAACAGAACATTTGCGCTTTGCTCAACACAATTGCACACATACAAGCTTCAGAACACCTGGATGCACACCAGCTACACTTGCAGCGGGAAGCATGTTCTCTGGCACGCAGCGCTGAGGCATTTGTATCAAACTGCTACGCACACTCCAATGTGTGTTCCGGTTTGTACTTTGCGTCGCTCAGCGCGATGTCTGACGCGTACGCTCCGCGTGCTCTGTGGGCCCCTTCAGAAACTGAAGTTAAGAAGCTCAACGTCAGACACCGTGTCGAAAAAGACGCTAAAGACGCGGCCTTCACAATGGTGCGCGCTCTCAATGAGGCCTACTCCAGACAGCATTTGCCTCCGCGAGCCTACAAACGAGGGCAAAGGATGTGATCGCGTGCTAAATATATTTTAAAGTAAATTTACAACAGCTTTAAAATCGGCATCACGTCGCAGGACGCGCATTACCAACCTTGGTGAAAGTCTACGGGGAAACGGTAACGTCGCTTGACCTTCGGTGGGCGGCAAAGAGCGGCTGCCGTACCGAAGAAATGGGTGTCGAGGCTACGTTTGGGAGTCTGGAAATCGGCGTCAATGGTAGAGTGCGTGGCTGCGGCAATCGAGCGTGCACCCCGCGGCAACCGCAGACGCCTCGCAGGTGTCGGGGGAGAACACGTCGGAGCCGTGACGAATAACACACCTGGGCACTGGACTTGCACCCAAGCGTACGAGAACGAGTTATGGCGTCGCTTAACGATTATCCTGACAAAACACCTCGGCCTTGTGGCCTCAATCTAGCAATTGTTTAAACCCGCCGGGAGCGGTTCGTGCGACGCACGTGACGAACCCCTCGCGCGTCGACAACGCATAAGTGGCCTCCCTGGCGTCGCTCTGTCCACATCGGCGTTTGGAAGTGAGATTTCCTCGTCCATGCTGCTGGACGCTACATTCGTGGCTGCACAACCGACCCTGGAGGATGTGGGGGTTTGTTTTTCCATAGAAATCAAACGTTTGAAATCCAGGTGCCAGCAATTGAAATATGCTTCCAAGTCGCTCATGCAGACAGAACGCTCTGAGGCGTTGACTCCATGGTTGTCCACTCTCCCATTAGGCGCATTGGGATCCTATGATGGAATGCACATTATAAATTTGAATTATTATTACCCCCCCTCTCTTCCTCTTCATCAATGCCATTTCCTTCCAGTTGCCATCCCAATGAATTCATAAGCATGTTATGATGTGTTGCTCTAAATAAATGCATCTCTTTAATTTCCTAACCCCGAATCGTTCATCCGCACGACACCAGACTGCGCATGAAACAGACAGCTCCAAGTTTGACATCTTACAAAAACAAAAGCAATGCCGGAAACGACGCTCGGCCACATCTACGATACATCGTCGCATTTCCTCATTGCCCTGCGGCACCTCGCTCATCACGATTGTGGGCCCCCTTCGTAGCGAAGCCTATAAAGCGACAGCATTACGGGAGAACGTCCTAAAACACCGCTGATCCAGAGAGCGTGTATGCCCACACGTGCCCATCCCAGCTGGGAATACGGCAATTTTAAATGTTAAGATAGTACAACAACTATAAGCATCCGCATTAAAGATCGTCGGTGCTGTGCAGTCCTGATGCCTCGCTGCCACAATTGTCCCCAAGCACGATATTCAGAAGCGCATTCCCTGTTGACAGCGAGGCCTGAGCCAGGCTATGGAGCAGGCTAGGGGGGTTCACTCTGCTCGGCTGGTCAGGGGCCGTGGGCCTTTCCCCCGTAACGCTGCGTGGCCGCCGCGTACGTGGCGGCGGGGCGCTTTTCCCGGGGCCTGCACACGTTTCGGTGACGAATGCGCAGGGGATGCAAAGCTTTGATTACGTGATCGGTGCCACACGAGCCTGAGATAAGCACGGCTAAATAGAGACAGAAAAATCTATCCGTAAACACAGAGACCAAAGCCCTAGTTTTTAACAGACAACACGTATTAATGAGTACAGTAGAGATTTAATTTCGACTAGCAAATGCCAATGCACATTCAAACGAGGATATAAATGGCACAAGGTACCCCGTTACCAACGAGTTAATCAAATACGCGCTACCTCGGCAGAAATCACACGCGCTGGGCGCGCCGCGCACGCACAAACCTTCCTCCGCACACACAGTAAGTCGGCCGGCGTTTTCATGCAGAGCGAGGTTGGTCTTCCTTCTTATAACGGACGCCCCAGGGAGAGTAAATGTCGGTGGCTCCGTGTGCGTGCGAGCGAGCGAGCGAGCAGGCTGCCAGGGAGAGGTGCGCTCACGGCCCTGCGAACACAACGACGACGACAACAATGGCAGGGGCAGCGACGTCACAAAACGTCACAACGCCATTGAGTGGCGGTGACCCAACGACCCCGCAAGCTCTTGCTTGGTTTTAGCCGTCAGGTTTTTGGGGCACGGCGTACGTCGAGGCCGGGTGGATCGTGGGGAGGGGTGCAAGGGTGGAACACCGCTGAGCTCCCTGGGTTCAGATCCGAGCCGCCGCCCGTGACCAACACGAACCTTTCGAGTATGGCGAGTTTGGTAACCCTCACCGATAATTGCCAAATATTTATTCATTGGTTTCGCTGAATTGTGTCAACTCCGGATGAAACCACAGCACGGCGGCCGACGTAACAATAGCGAAAGAAAGCTTTAATGTGACATCCAGTGACGTGGCAATCGGGCACGCGGTTCACGTCCGTTGGGCCTGTGCCCACTCGCCGCGATAGAAACGATGACAACGACGACAACGACAAAGAGCAGAAGCGGTGACCGCGAAGCAGCGGCACAACGATGTAGGGTGGGAGGATGAGCTATGCAAGATCCACGACTGTGGGCCCCCTTCCTTTCTCACGACTCAATTTTTACTGAAATAGCTACGGATGTTTTTTTTTTTTTACCCGTATAGCAATAATACGTGGGGCCACACCTGTATATTAGTTTAAGTAGCTGCACCGTGTATTGGGTTGAGAAGAAGACGGCCTCACGGTGACGGTGTTCGTGAAAGGATTCAGCGGGACGATACTCACAATTAAGTTGTCACGCGTCGTGCTTTCATGCTGCACGTCAGCAAAAAAAGTCCTGGTCTCCAGCAACAAACACCAGCAGCAGCGCCGCTATATTTGTAAAAATGTATGGTTCATTGTTGGAATATATTTAAATAAATAAAACATATTTCTTTTGTTTGCTTTTTGGTTTATCTGTTGATTCGGGGCCCTCTCGTGGCCGACTGGGCCCCTATGCGTCGCTTACCGCTGCCGCATACCCCCCCCCCACCCACCCCACAGAGCGGAGGGTTGGGACCGCGCGAGACTTTTGGGCCACACCGGGGCGCCTTCACCCACCCCAGGTCGACAGGAGCCCGATGGCGAGCAGTGCCAGGACGCTGAGGGGCGCCAGCCCCACCGCCCCGCACTCCATCTTGCCCTTAGGGCACAGGCACACCAGCACCGGCACGTTGGTGTGGTTGTTCTGGGGCGGATTTCCCGAGTCCGAGGCCACCACGGGCAGGAGGTGGCGGCCCTTCTTGAGCGTCTGCAGGAGCCGCACCTCGGTGTGCGTGCCTGCCGCACGCCCCCGTTGGGGTAGGGGAATGGGCGGAGAAGACGCAATCCAGCGTTAGCCCAGTGGTGACCCATTGCCTGTGTGTTGTAGTTACTAGCCCAGTAGTCACCCATTGCCTGTGTGGTGTAGTTACTACCCCAGTAGTCACCCATTGCCTGTGTGGTGTAGTTACTACCCCAGTAGTCACCCATTGCCTGCGTGGTGTAGTGGCTAGCCCAGTAGTCACCCATTGCCTGTGTGGTGTAGTGGCTAGCCCAGTAGTCACCCATTGCCTGTGTGGTGTAGTTACTAGCCCAGTAGTCACCCATTGCCTGTGTGGTGTAGTGGCTAGCCCAGTAGTCACCCATTGCCTGTGTGGTGTAGTGGCTAGCCCAGTAGTCACCCATTGCCTGGGTGGTGTAGTGGCTAGCCCAGTAGTCACCCATTGCCTGTGTGGTGTAGTTACTAGCCCAGTAGTCACCCATTGTCTGTGTGTTGTTGTTACTAGCCCAGTAGTCACCCATTGCCTGTGTGGTGTAGTGGCTAGCCCAGTAGTCACCCATTGCCTGGGTGGTGTAGTGGCTAGCCCAGTAGTCACCCATTGCCTGTGTGGTGTAGTTACTAGCCCAGTAGTCACCCATTGCCTGTGTGGTGGAGTTACTAGCCCAGTAGTCACCCATTGCCTGCGTGGTGTAGTGGCTAGCCCAGTAGTCACCCATTGCCTGCGTGGTGTAGTTACTACCCCAGTAGTCACCCATTGCCTGCGTGGTGTAGTGGCTAGCCCAGTAGTCACCCATTGCCTGTGTGGTGCAGTGGCTAGCCCAGTAGTCACCCATTGCTTGTGTGGTATAGTTACTAGCCCAGTAGTCACCCATTGCCTGTGTGGTATAGTTATTAGCCCAGTAGTCACCCATTGCCTTTGTGGTGTAGTGGCTAGCCCAGTAGTCACCCAATGCCTGTGTGGTGTAGTTACTAACCCAGTAGTCACCCATTGCCTGTGTGGTGCAGTGGCTAGCCCAGTAGTCACCCATTGCCTGTGTGGTATAGTTACTAGCCCAGTAGTCACCCATTGCCTGTGTGGTATAGTTATTAGCCCAGTAGTCACCCATTGCCTTTGTGGTGTAGTGGCTAGCCCAGTAGTCACCCAATGCCTGTGTGGTGTAGTTACTAGCCCAGCAGTAACCCATTGTCTGTGTGGTGTAGTTACTAACCCAGTAGTCACCCATTGCCTGGGTGGTATAGTGGCTAGCCCAGTAGTCACCCATTGCCTGTGTGGTGTAGTTACTAGCCCAGGAGTCACCCAATGCCTGTGTGGTGTAGTGGCTAGCCCAGTAGTCACCCATTGTCTGTGTGGTGTAGTTACTAGCCCAGTAGTCACCCATTGCCTGTGTGGTATAGTGGCTAGCCCAGTAGTCACCCATTGCCTGTGTGGTGCAGTGGCTAGCCCAGTAGTCAGCCATTGCCTGTGTGGTATAGTTACTAGCCCAGTAGTCACTCATTGCCTGTGTGGTGTAGTGGCTAGCCCAGTAGTCACCCATTGCCTGTGTGGTATAGTTACTAGCCCAGTAGTCACTCATTGCCTGTGTGGTGTAGTGGCTAGCCCAGTAGTCACCCATTGTCTGTGTGGTGTAGTGGCTAGCCCAGTAGTCACCCATTGCCTGTGTGTTGTAGTTACTAGCCCAATAGTCACCCATTGCCTGTGTGGTGTAGTGGCTAGCCCAGTAGTCACCCATTGTCTGTGTGGTGTAGTGGCTAGCCCAGTAGTCACCCATTGCCTGTGTGGTATAGTTACTAGGCCAGTAGTCACCCATTGCCTGTGTGGTGTAGTGGCTAGCCCAGTAGTCACCCATTGCCTGTGTGGTATAGTGGCTAGCCCAGTAGTCACCCATTGCCTGTGTGGTGTAGTGGCTAGCCCAGTAGTCACCCATTGCCTGTGTGGTAATTTGTGAGACAAGCAGCATCCACCGGTAATTCAGAATCAGAATCTTTGTTATATCCTGGAGAAATCCGATGAGCTATGAAGCTCTTTTTCACAGATGTCCTATTGCGTCTTCAGTGAATGAGTGCTGTTTTATCAATAGATGCTGTTTATTCACGTGTGGGGTTTTTTTCTACCTTAAGTAAGTTCTGTTTATTAAAATGAAATAATCGTTTACAGAAGTAAATTACATTACAGAAATATTTGATCTAAATAAAAAAAAATCCTTAACCTGTATTCATGTACGTCTCACAAACCCTCTCGGGTACTTCCCGACAAGGTAGAAAGCTGCAATTTGGTACATCTTTTAGGACACAAACAACAGTGAATTTATGAAAATCCGAGATTTTTCATTTTAAGGCCCCCAAATCTCGATTTCAATTTCTCCATAAAGATGTTTGTGCGTGCCATTCAGAAACCGTTCAAAATATAACATTGCAATTTTTTTCGTTTGATAGAGCAAATTAAATGAACGTGAGAACCATCGTTGCATTTTACGATCTTCAAATCTGAAGAATTCTAAAACGTAGGTCGCTCACCGTTGACCTTGGTGAGCCTCCAGGTCTTGTCGAGCCCCATGGGCGACTTGGGCAGCGCGATGAGGAAGGGCTCGCCGTTGGGCGCCAGGTCAAGGTCCCGGGCCCAGAGCATGCCGAGCGGCGGGGACGAGGCGTTGCGCGGCCCCGCGCACACGCGCAGGTCGGCCGGCATCACGTGCGGCGCGTTGTCGTTCTCGTCCAGCAGCGTGATCACCAGTGTCGCCGTGCCTGTCGCCGGCGGGACTCCTGCACCCGCCATCAAACGCTCTGAGGCTCAAAACCGCGCGCTTAACTTAAACTAAACTATTTTTTATTACACCAGGTAAGGCCCACTGAGCTACGTGGCTCTTTTTCAGAAGCGACCTGGCCGCAGACTCGACGAAGTGGCTTATCACGAGGAAATACATCGCAGCCAATTACTCTAACCGAATGTTGATTCTAAATGTGGTGGGAAAAACCGGATGCCCTGGAGGATAATCCACGCGAGACACACAAACTCCAAATATGCAGTAGGCATCGTCATGGTTGGGATCGAACCCACGACCTCCTGTATACCAGGTGAGGTGGTTAACATTCCACACCCTCAACTCGAGCAGGCTCTGGGCGAGGCCTTGACCACACTGGGGATTGCCGAGAGCCGAGCCTGAGCTGGCCGTGACCGAGCAGCTGGAGCATCGTTGAAAGCGACCAAGCGGCTCAGGGCCTGGCTGAGCCGAGCCACAGCCGAGCCACGACTGAGCCAACGGCCCTGAGACTCGCGGACTCCGAGATAAATAAGCGCTGCGATATGCGCGATGCGCACGCCGTGGGTGGCACGTTCATCCAGCATCGGATTGAAAAAGGGCCGTTGACGAAGAAGAACTCTTCGTGTGACGAGGACTCGGCTGTGGGCGAGGGAGCTCCTAGGCCGTGATCCCACGGTGGGCCCATGGGCCCTCTTCCACGCTGGGAAATTTGAACTTGTGAAAATAAAGATGGCAAATCATGGATTTCTGACCGCACACAAACTCAGCTTAAGGTGTATGGAGATCTGTAGCCTGTGGCACAGGGGGCTCGTATTGTACGGCCCTTCGCTCATCCACTGATGGAAGGCTTCCACTATGCCAGACCAATTAATGGTGGTTGCTGGGCTATATTTCACTACTCTGGTCAGTGCTTTTTGGTGAAGTCGGGGGGAGGGGTAGGCCCGGTTGAGGTGTCACTCATCTTGATTTAAAGCTTTCGTGACTGCAGGGATTCATATGCTTGGTTCTTTCGGTAAAGTCACGTATAAGGGAAACAATAAAATAATAAAAATATAAAACAATAAAATTCTCACGACGTTTCGACTGCAACACAAGCAATCATCATCAGGTGTGAAAACCACAGCAAGAAAATTTGAAAAACTGTCGCGTTTTTTTAGCGTTAGCACCACAGAGAGCGATTTGGCAGTTATTCAGCTGGACGAGTCCATTTATGTTCGGAAAAGAGGAGGGGGGAGACGAAATTAATGGATGCGGTCTGAAAGCCACCGTAAGCGTGAACGATCAATTAAGACCCGAAATGGTTTATCGAATCCTTCCAATTATTGCTATATGTGGATAGCCTCATGAACGAATCTCTTATGGTAGCCAGATGGCTTGCAAAGAACCTCTGTCTTGGATAAGTCAATGTCATGTGAGCCTACTGAATTATAACAGTGATCTGCCACGGCCGAGGTGTTGGTCCTACCGTGTTTAAGGTCTGCTTTGTGTTCACGAATGCGCTCCGAGACATGGCGTTTGGTTTCTCCAATGTAACTACTACCACAGAGGCAACTTAGTTTGTCGACGCCAGGGTACTGTATGTCCGGAATCACATCCAAACGACATGTCTCGGACCGCATTCGTGAACACAAAGCAGACCTTAAACACGGTAGGACCAACACCTCGGCCGTGGCAGATCACTGTTATAATTCAGTAGGCTCACATGACATTGACTTCTCCAAGACAGAGATTCTTTGCAAGCCATCTGGCTACCATAAGAGATTCGTTCATGAGGCTATCCACATATAGCAATAATTGGAAGGATTTGATCAACCATTTCAGGTCTTAATTGATCGTTCATGCTTACGGTGGCTTTCAGACCGCATCCATTAATTTCGTCTCCCCCCTCCTCTTTTCCGAACATAAATGGACTCGTCCATCTGAATAACTGCCAAATCGCTCTCCGTGGTGCTAACGTTAAAAAACCGCCACTTTTAAAAAAAATGTTGCTGTGGTTTTCACACCTGATGATGATTGCTTGTGTTGCAGTCGAAACGTCGTGAGAATTTTATTGTTTTATATTTTTATTATTTTATTGTTTCCCTTCTACGTGACTTTACCGAAAGAACCAAGAATATGTGTCACTCATCGTTGATGTTAAAAGCTGTGGATGGCAATCAAACTCGGGTCACCGGGTACGGGACGCAGTGAGCGAATCCGTGCGCCACCATGCCACCAGGGGTTTATCATGGCTAGATTAAGAACTGAACCAACAATGTTAAAATCGTGGCCGAGAAACGAACTGAAGTTAAAATCTCGTGACGTATTTGTTGCTATGATGGCTGTGAAAAAGCAAATTTTCTTAAATGGGGAGAGAGCGGTCAACGCACGGACGACGAGTGCTCGGGGTGCTCGGAGCGGCCACGTTGGAGCTCGGAGCCAGCGCCACCAAAAGGGGCTCATGGAGACCGCCTGTGGCGATTCATCGAGACAGCCGTTACCGTTTTTAAGTTCTCGGCAAGGTTCTCGGCAAATCAATCATCCTGTCCAGTATGTCTTTCCCAACACACCGTTCCGTGCTATTTGTAAATAATTCGTGCTTTTTGTCATTAGTTTGTTGTCCGTCCCCCGCACCTCCGATTAGCACGGTTGGCTACGTGCGGTGCGAAAGAAGTTCAACATATATGCAAACAAAAACGCGATGAACAATAATAATAATAATAGTGATACAATAGGCAACCTGGCGTCGTGCGTTTACAGGGGGAGGCCTGGGCTTTGGCTTGACAGCCTTGTCACTTCCCACGTGTTGCGTCGCGTGCGTGGGGAGCGGTGGCGCAGCGGTCAGCGCCGCAGTGCACGGCCAACCCAGAAGTCCGAGTTAAATTCCCGCTCGCGCCCAGTAACGGTGACGAGCATCCGAAGCGACGCTGGGCTTCCCCTGAGCTCGACTCGGCCCCCAACGAGTACGACGTGCCAAACATCGGCACTCGGGGGACACAAAGCGCGGCCTTCATCGGCGCCACTCGCTGCTCGCAGCGCTCGTCACAACGGCGGGGACCTTTGTCCCCGCGTGCGAGTGCGGCGCGTACCGTTGTCGGTGGCGGTGAACGCCGCCGTGTAGCGGCTGTTGTTGACGAAGGGCGACTCGCGGTCGAGGCGCTTGAGCGTGCGCACCTGTCCCGTTGTGGGCACCACGCTGAGCCAGCCCGCCGGGTCCGACAGCACCGCGTACCTGAGGGTGGGGGGACACGCGGGGACGGGGACGGGGAACGGGGGGGGGGGGGGGGGGGGGGGGGGGGGGCTCACGCCAGCTCCCACGCTCACACCCACTGAGCACGCTGAGCCGCTTGGCCGGGCTGTGAAACCACTGCAGACGACTTCACCCGTCTCGTGACACGCAACCCCCCTTCGGTCACGAAAACTCGGCGCTGTGAACGTGGCACGGATACCGAACGCACTCATTAGTCGATTACCCGGGGAATGGTGGGGGAACGGTTAGCGCGCTGCACCACGAACCCGGCGACACGAGGTCGATTCCCGCCCACGGCCAACACCGGTGACGATTATCTAAACCGGTCCTGGGCCTCCCCCTAGGTCGACTCAGCCTCAAATGAGTACCTGGCGCGGTGTGTAAACATCGCCACTGGGGAGACAAAGGAGGCTGCGCGTGGTGTTGGGCACCTACCCCTACGTGTGCTGTATCGGCCTTCACAGGTGCCCGCTAACAGCACTTACCCCAACAGTCAATTAAGGCTATAAGGGGGATCTTTGTCTTTGTGCGTGTGTATTAACGCAGTGGGGTGGGGGGGGGGGGCGGTGGTTGGCGCTGCATTGCGCTACGAACCCGCTGATCCCAAAGTCGATCCTCGCCCACGGCCAACACCGGCAACGAATATTTAAACCCGAGGTCGATCCGTCCTTAAACGAGTACCTGGTGTGCGTGCGTGTGTGCATGTGTGCGTGCGTGTGCGTGCGTGTGCATGTGTGTGTGCGTGTGCGTGCGTGTGCATGTGTGTGTGCGTGTGCGTGCGTGTGTGTGTGTGTGCGTGTGCATGTGTGTGTGCGTGTGTGTGCGTGTGCGTGCGTGTGCATGTGTGTGTGCGTGTGCGTGTGTGTGTGCAAGTGTGTGCACGCACACGCACTCACCGCACTGTCTGCTTGTGCGCGCGGTCGGGGTCGGTGGCGTTGAGGCTGAGCAGCGTGGTGCCCGGGGCGGCGTTCTCGCGCCACGTGATGGCGAGCGCGGGCGAGGGCGCGAACTCGGGCGCTTCGTTCACGTCCGTGAGCGTCACGCGCACCGTCGCCGTGGACGAGGGGCCGGCCTTCACGCCCGCAGCCAGCGCCTCCTCGTTCTCCGCCACGATCACCAACTCGTGCGCCGACGAGCGCTCGAAGTCCAGGGGCTGCGGGGGCGAGTGGGGTGGGGGGGGCGGACGCGGCGATGGTCGCACCTTCAAGAGGAGAGCGAGTCGGCGCCGTTTGGCGCGGACGCCGATTGCCTTCGAAGTGAATACAGAGGGATAACTGCCGGCGAATTTTTTGTCTATGTTGATAGGCGGCAGTGTGCTGATGAGTCCTGATGAGGACAAAACCGGTCAACAATCGCGTCTTTGTTTCACTGCCTCCCCTGTTGGGATGGTCACGTTTCCTCAACCTTTTGAGTTTGTGGTCTAAAGTATGAATGACAAAGGTTGCCATACTTTCAGTTCTTTTTGCGCTGGTGGTCTGGACAAGGCTGAGGGTTTTTGTAGTACAGCACTGTACATGCAATGCTGCATGGCTGTGTGCGTTGTAAAATCTATTTGTGTCCGGCCTGCGTTTATGTTCCCGGATTTTTTCGTCGTTTACAGATTTGAATTAGTAGTCCGATCGATGGACTTGACCCCGCCAAAGCAACGTGGAATTTACACCACTGGCTGAGGGCTATAAAACAGGGCCCGGACACCAACTCAACGTTCATTTGGACAGGGCGCCAGCTTGACTTGTTGCGCTCTGAACGGACCGGTCCCACCATAGGAACGTGGAATTCCCACAACAGGCTCGGGAGCTGCCCTCCCTCTCGCGTCACGGCGCGGCACGCCACCCCCTCCCTGGGCATGGGGGAACGCTGGAGCGTGGCGGGGGACACGCGGGGGGGGGGGGGGGGGCACCTTGACGGCGGCCAGCATGCCCTGGTTGGTCTTGGGGTTGGTGCTGACGTTGAAGAGGGCTGCGTCGTTGCCGTGGGCGATGTGGAAGACGGCGCGCCACGCGGGGCCGCCCGGCTCGTCCTTGTCCTCCACCGTGAGGTTCAGGAACACGCCGCGCGCGTCCTCGCGCAGCGTCACCGCGTGCTGGGGGGGGGGGGAGGGGTCACGGGAAGAGGGGGGGGGTGGAAGCGCGCGGGGGTCACCGCAGGTCACCGCGTCCTCACCGCGTCCTCACCGCGTCCTCACCGCGTCCTCGCTCACCGTTGAAGGCCGTCATGCGTCGCGCGTCGTGGCGAACAAAGGATCGGGTCGTGCGTGATAATTAAACGATAACAATCCCATCGAGAGTTGTTGTTCATTGAAGAAGTTGTTTTTAACGGTGTTCCAATTACTCTTGGCGTTTATTGATGTCGTGAGACGAAGAAACTCCCGTAGTGAGCAGTGTACTACACGGAGTCGGAGAATGGCCCCCCTAAAGGCGATGTCTTAAAGACAACTGCGATTTGGCGTTCATTCACTCTCTTTCATCGCCACTTTGATTTTGCCCTGCAACGAGCATCTAAAGCAGGCCAATGAAGCCCGAGTGTTGTTTAATTCTCGAGCAAAGTGAATTCAGTTTAAAGCCGGATGTAATGGGGAGTTTGTTGGTGCAGTTATTGGTGAGCGGAGCAAGCTCGCTCGACTCGTTACACTCGACAAGCCGCGGATTCGAACCCTGGATCTCGGGGGGGGGGGTGCCGGCTCGGCGCTCCGACCCCCCGAGCCCCCCCCACTCCGGACCCCTCGGCACCGCCTGCCCCGTGTACCCCGCGCCCTCGGTGACTCGTGCCGGCTGCGTCTCTGCCCCTCTCCGTCATCAGTGCCCCCGTGCCGCCCTGCCATCCCTTCCACACCACGGTGGTGAGATGTTAACTACCTCGACCGCTGTACAGGAGGTCTTGAGTTCGATCCAAGACCCTGATGCCTGTAATATTTGGCGTTTGCGTGTTTCTCCCTGTGGTCACGTGGATTTATCTCCGGGTCCTCCGGGTTTTTCCGTCGACATTTGGAATCAACGTGCGTTTAGAGTATTTGGGTGATAAAAATTTCGGCATAAGCCACTTCGTTGAGCTATCATTGGCCAGGTCATTTCTAAAAAAAGAGCTATATAGCTCTGCTGCCATCTCCTGGCCACCTGTCACCTCCTGGAAGCTTTTGGAGTTGCGCGAATCGATGCGATCCACCAACCCTCGCATCCACAAGGCACTGGAGCGTGGGCATGCATCACCAAGGGTGGAGTGCACAACCGCAAAGCCCTAAGGGGGCCACAAGCAGCCGCTCTGGATAGCGTGAGGACGGGCGGCAGGTGATGCCACCTCGTAGTGCTAAAGGCCACAGAGACCCGCAATCTACAAAGAGGGCCCGGTCTTTCCGCGCTGCCTCGCACGGGGGGAGCTGCTCAGGGGCAGGTCTGAACTGGCCGTAGGGCAGCAGTCTGTAGGGCAAATGCAAGTGGCCCGTTACGGGGGGGGGGGGGGTGGTGCGATCTATGTGGGAAAATTGCAAAGTAATATTTTATGACCTCTAATGTGTACGCTTCATTGTTTCTTTACGCTCTCGGTTGGCACTAAGTCCCCAGATTTGGCAGCCCCAAAGATTCTTCCTCGTTCGTTTTTTGGATCCAGCCCAGATGGGCCAATGAGATCGCACAGCAAAAAATAAGGCCAACACCACGGAACACCACATCGCAACATTTAGCGAACTTCATAGCCCGAATTTGGGGCCCGGTGGGTTTCCAAATGCCTGGGCCAATTCTTTTCGTCTCAGTCTGTCACTGCTGTTGGAGCCAGGGACGTTTCCTCTCAACCAGGGGACCGTGCGAGCGTGAGGTTTCATGCCGCGGCTCGCACCGCGGAACGAGCGGGCGGTGGCAGCACAGCCAGCGTAGCGATTTGCACACTGCAGCGGTCTTCTCTCGTTTTCAGCCGGCAGGGGGGCACTTTCACCGACAAAATGTCAGTGTGCGAGGGCCGCCACGCGTTTGAAACCATTGGGGTTTAATAATAATAATAGTAATAATGCATAAAACGCCCTTAAACCATCGTTCTCAGGGCGCTGTGCATGGCAAGGCGGGAAACAGTTAACAACGAGCAAGTAAAGGAGGCTGTGAGAAAGACGGTTGAAGGTAACTCGAGAGAAAGCCATTTCAACAGCAACACGATGGGTGGTATTGTCACTCTTTGTGCATTGTCAGGGGGCCGCACTCAAGGCCACCAGGGGCCGACGGTGGCCCGCGATGAAGGACCCCGGCGCACGCGGTCGCGCCGTTTGATCGACTGATCGTCCGGCCCGCACCGCGGACGGATTTTTGAATCGCTGAATCCCTCGATCAGGAACTGCCCAAAAGTGCCGAGCGAGGGGAGCCCGCCTGGAAATCGCCTTAAAGCTGGCGAGTTTCGGGCTAAACAAATCGAATTTTACTTGCAATCGTGATGTTGGGTTACACATTCATTAATTCAATGAATGTTTTGAGTATGAACTCGCCCTCACTAAAGAGGGCATCGCAATACTAGATTTAAAGCTTTCGTGACTGCAAGGATCCATACTCTTTGGTTCTATTCGCAATACTTGAACAGTAAACATTAAACGAAGGAAGTCCTCCCTATGAAATCGAGACGACACATTTGACTTTGCATTCCAATTTAATTAAAAAAGTGTGAGCGTTACGTGGCATTGACGTCACCGGAGAACTCCAGTGACGTCACAATCAGGCACGACGGAGAAGAGCCTGGACACACGACGCTATTTAACGAGACCAACACGGATCGGTCCAAGTTGGAATCCTCCTGCCGCCGCCGCCGCCGCTGCTGCTGCCACATCGAGGGCCAACCCCTCCCTGACTGCTGCGCCCCCCGCAGCAGTCGAGTTGATTGTCGATGCATCACTCAGCGAGTCGCTCCGGTCGCTCGCTCACCGGCGGCCAGTCGCCTCTTTATCGCCCTGAAATCTTCCACACACTTCCCCACCCACTAACTTACCTCCTTCTCTGCCCCACACCCCCCCCCCCCCTCTCTCATACTTAACTTCAAATTTAGCAATCTTTAGAAGAACGTAATCAAATAGGTAAAGCGTTAACTATTGTGTTAGCCGATTCTCTGTGTTGCATTGCATTACATTTCTAAGTTTACTCGGTTTGTTTTCTCAAACTTCAAATTTCTCTCCCGATCCCGCTCTCATTGACTTGCTAATTTCTCTGCCCTCCCCCTCTCTGTATAATACCTCGTCATAGAGTTGTTTTTTCTGTGTGTCTCTCTCTGCGTGTGTGTCTCTCTCTGTCTCTCTCTGTGTGTGTGTGTCTCTCTCTCTCTATCTGTGTATATCTCTCTGTGTGTTTCTCTGTCTCTCGGTGTGTCTATCTCTATGTGTGTCTCTCTCCGTGTCTGTGTGTGTCTCTCTCTGTGTGTCTCTCTCTCTATGTGTGTGTCTCTCCGTGTCTGTGTGTGTGTCTCTCTCTCTGTGCGTCTCTCTCCGTGTCTGTGTGTGTCTCTCTCTCTGTGCGTCTCTCTCCGTGTCTGTGTGTCTCTCTCTCTGTGTGTCTCTCTCTCTGTGTATGTGTCTCTCTCTGTGTGTCTATCTCTCTCTGTGTATGTGTCTCTCTCCGAGCTTGCATTCACACCTGATGACGGTTGCCTGTGTTGCAATCGAAACGTCGTATTCGTCAAATCAAGTTTTCGCCCTTATATTGCTAAAACCATAGGCACCGTTCTTCACTCATTCATCCCTCCTCCTCCCGTGTTGAAGACTCGGTCCACCAGACACTCACCGCTTCGCACTCTCTTCAATCAGCACCACCCTTGCAGCAGGTCGCAGCAACACACTTCCCCACCCACTAACTCACCTCCTCACTCACGCGAACTCACCTGCTCGCACAATTACCCGCTCACCACGCCGCAGGTCACCTCACTTTTCTTTATGCATTTCCCCCCCGCACACTGCCACTCTGGAATTCTCTCCTCCCGTCGTCTCTCTTTTCCCAAGCTCTGATAAGAGCAACGTTGCGGGCCCATTTTCCGTTTCGGGCCCGCGTGGGCACTGCGCTCAGCGACTATGCTAAAAATAAACGACAATGCGAGCCGCTCGCGCTGTTAGCCTCGCATGTTCACGGCGAGCGGGTCAGAGGGGAGCCGAGGGGGAGTGGAGTGGAGAGCAGCGGAAGCGGAGCAGGGCGAGAGGGAGCAGCGTACCGAGGTGCGTGTGAACACGGGCGCGTGGTCGTTCTTGTCGGTGATGTGCACCGTGGCGGTGGCCGTGCCGGTGAGGCCCTGCTCGACCCCCGGCGTGTCGCGCGCCTCCACCACCAGCTCGTACGCCAGCGTTGGGAGAGACTGCACACGCACGGGGTCAGGGGGTCAGGGGGTCAGGGGGTCAGGGGTCGCGCTCGTCGCGTCGCAGCTCCTCGACGTGGCGCAGCCCGAACTAGGGACCACACAGAGCACCCCTGCAGTCTGCACTCCTTCAACGGAGGGGGGACAGCAAAGCCACGCAAACTATTTCTCTCGTCGTGGCCAGCAGCAGACACTCGACATTGGCGAGATAACTCCTTCGCCTGGTACGCAGGAGGTCGTGGGTTGATGCCCGACCCTGACGCCCGCTGTATATTTTGAGTTTGCGTGTCTCTCCGCCCGTGGTCGCGCGGATTTTTTTATCCGAGTCCCCCGGTTTTTCCCTCCCCATTTAGAATCAACGTCAGGCGTTTCGAGTATTTGGCTGCTATACATTTATCCACCCGTGTGCGCTATCCCTTGTTGAGACTGGAAAACCCGAGTCGGAGTTTACAGCCTCCCTGATCTCAACGCGCGGCGGCCGCCCCAGGGGCCGGAGCGGGGAGTGGTAGGGGCTGGAGGGCGGGGGGCACCCCCCCTGACCTCACGGTCGAGCAGTGCCGCGTCCACGTTGGTGGTGATGCTCCCCGTCTCCGGGTCGATGGTGAACATGTGGGCGCTGGGCACCGTGGGCGACTGGCTCAGGATGGTGTAGCGCAGCTCCGCGTTGTCCGTGTCCTGCTCGTCCGCGTCCTCCGCCGTCATCATCATCACCACCGTCCCTGGGGGGCGAGCGCGGCGATTCGAGAAGGGTGACGTGTAAAGTGTGCGCCCGTGTGTGTGTGTGACGTACGTGGCCTGTGCGCGATGTACGCAGTGCGTGACGGACGTGGTGTGACGTACCTGGTGTGTGTGACGTACGTGGTGTGACGTACGCGGTGCGTGTGACGTACGTGGTGTGTGTGACAGACGTGGTGTGACGTACCTGGTGTGTGTGACGTACGTGGTGTGACGTACGCGGTGCGTGTGACGTACGTGGTGTGACGTACGCAGTGCGTGTGACGTACGTGGTGTGACGTACGCGGTGCCCGCACGTGGTGTGTGTGACGGACGTGGTGTGACGTACCTGGTGTGTGTGACGTACGTGGTGTGACGTACGCGGTGCGTGTGACGTACGTGGTGTGACGTACGCGGTGCGTGTGACGTACGTGGTGTGACGTACGCGGTGTGTGTGACGTACGTGGTGTGACGTACGCGGTGTGTGTGACGTACGTGGTGTGACGTACGTGGTGTGTGTGACGCGCTCCGTACCGTTGGGCGAGCCCTCCTGCACCGTGCCCTTGTAGGGCCCGTGCGTGAACTGTGGTTTGTTGTCGTTGAGGTCCAGCACGCGCACCTCCAGCAGCACGGGCTTCTCCAGCTGCGAGCCGTCCACCCTCACGCCCTCCACCCGCAGCTGCCACGTGGCGGGAGGCACCAGCGACGCATTCGGGGTCGACATTCGGGGATCAATGTGAGCGTTACTGACGAGAGTGCCTCGTGAGCTTTTGTCGGAGGCCCTCGCTAACAGCGCTTGCCCTGACAGCGCGTGTGCCCGCTACGTCTCCGCGTTGCACGTGCGACTGTGTCTGCGTACCTCTGTGTGTGGTTGCGTGTCTGTGTGTGATTGGCACGGCGCGCTACGAACTCGGCAACCCGGGTTCGATTCCCGCTCACGGCCAACACCAGTGACGATTATCTAGGTCGACTCAGCCTCAAACGAGTACCTCGCGCGGTGTGTGAACATCGCCACTGGGGAGACATAGGCGGGCGGACGTGGTGCCGTGCCGGCTTTCAGAGGTGCTCGCTAATAGCACTTGCCCCAACAGTCTGTCAGGGCTATACGGGGGATCTTTGTATTCGTCTTTTCTTGTTGTGATTGGCAGAGGAGCGACACTCACAACAACGAGTGTGCGTCCATGCATGTGTCTCTCTCTGTGAGCGTGTCTCTGTGCGTGTGTCTCTCTGTGAGTGTGTCTCTGTGCGTGTGTCTCTCTGCGAGCGTGTGTCCACGCGTGTGTCTCTCTGTGAGCGTGTCTCTGTGCGTGTGTCTCTCTGTGAGCGTGTCTCTGTGCGTGTGTCTCTCTGTGAGCGTGTCTCTGTGCGTGTGTCTCTCTGTGAGTGTGTCTCTGTGCGTGTGTCTCTCTGTGAGTGTGTCTCTGTGCGTGTGTCTCTCTGCGAGCGTGTGTCCACCCGTGTGTCTCTCTGCGAGCGTGTGTGTTCGTGCTGCCCGTACCTGGTACTGGGCGATGTACTCGCGGTCCAGCGGATGGGTGACGAAGATGGTGCCGTCCCTCTCGTTGATGGTGAACACCCCGCGCGGCTCCTCGTCAGCGCCGGCGCCGTGCAGCCGGAAGTAAACCTCGCCCGGGAGGCGGTCCGTCACCTCCGCCTGGGGTCGGGCAGGGTGGTCAGGGCAGGGGGTCAAGTCAGGGCAGGGGGTTAGGGCAGAGGTCAAAGCAAGGTTCAGGGAAGGGGGTCAGGGCGCGTGAATGGAGGTAATGGGGTAGTTAGGGGTCAGCGACAGGATGGTCGAGGGTCAGGGAGTTTCTCACTCGAGGGTCAAAGTGTCGTGTAACAGTTCACTGGAAGAAAGCCTCACGACCTAAAACAGGGCCACGTTGACTCGAATACGCCGAGCGGCGATTTCTCTTCCTCGCGAATGAGGGCCGGGAGGGGGGGAGGGGGAACTGGGGGGGGGGGGGGGCGATGACTGCGCGGGGCCGGTGCCTCGTTCACCGCGCGCCGGCCTCTGCCGCCGCCTCACCTTGCCGACCTCGCGAGGGAAGGTTCCCCGCAGGTTCTCGTACACGTAGATGTTGTTGGCCGTGAGCGTGCGAGGCCTCCGGCTCAGCAGCACCCCTGCGCGGGGGGGGGGGGGGCGGACACACGCGGTCGTCGCAGAGGGTGTCAGTGCAACGACCCGGAATGAACGCGTTGAGGGGCGGTGCGGGGAGGTGAGGGACGCGGGGAGTTGAGGGATGTGATGGAGGTGAAGGGAGTGGGGAGGTGAGGGTCCCGGCAGCGACTGTGGTGAGGAAACGGCGGATTCACAAGGGACGCGCCGATGGAGGTACAAGGTCTCGCCGCGGAGTTGAGACGCGCGTGGGGAGAGCGCGAGAGCTCGGGTTGGTGACGCCGCTGGTGTTGGTGACGCCGCTGGTGTTGGTGACGCCGCTGGTGTTGGTGACGCCGCTGGTGTTGGTGACGCCGCTCGGCTTGGTGACGCCGCTCGGCTTGGTGACGCCGCTCGGCTTGGTGACGCCGCTCGGCTTGGTGACGCCGCTCGGCTTGGTGACGCCGCTGGTGTCGGTGACGCCGCTGGTGTCGGTGACGCCGCTCGTGTCGGTGACGCCGCTCGTGTCGGTGACGCCGCTCGTGTCGGTGACGCCGCTCGTGTCGGTGACGCCGCTCGTGTCGGTGACGCCGCTCGTGTCGGTGACGCCGCTCGTGTCGGTGACGCCGCTCGTGTCGGTGACGCCGCTCGTGTCGGTGACGCCGCTCGTGTCGGTGACGCCGCTCGTGTCGGTGACGCCGCTCGTGTCGGTGACGCCGCTCGTGTCGGTGACGCCGCTCGTGTCGGTGACGCCGCTCGTGTCGGTGACGCCGCTGGTGTTGGTGACGCCGCTCGGGTTGATGACGCCGCCCGAGAAACCTCCGTCGCTTTTGAGACGCTCAGCTCGACGCTGGATGCTCGACTCCAATTTCGTCGACTTGAGCATCGGTGGCGTGAAGTCAGCGTGGACTCGTCGTGCCGACACGAGTCCAGAACTCGGCTGCCAGAATCCGATCAACAGTCCTGGCATGCCTCTCTTCATGGGCTAATTCATTTACAGTTCAGAGTGTTGTTTGAGATCCTTCTTGTGACCTATAAGCCTCTCAAAACCGGACAACCGAGCTCACTCGCGGATTTGCTGACCCCGTACGTGCGGCCGTCCCGAAGGCTCCGCTCATCGATGGCCGGTGCCCGCCCCCCACGCCCTACCCTGTATTCCCTGGACGTGGCTCCCTCTGTTGTGCTGCTCCCCCTGGCTGTGTGTGAACGCCCAGGCGCCCAGTGTTGTCCGTGACTCCGGCATGACGGCGACAGCGGGGTGTTTATTCTCCGTTGCTTTCGGATCTCTCCGTGAGCTCCAATACGCCTGAGTTGAATTACTCCTCCCCCGGGCAACGAGGTATTTTTAAAAACCATTTCTTGAACTGTTTTATTTATTGTGACGTACTGCGCTTTGAGTACCTTGTAGAAAGGCGCTTTCTAATTTTTTTAATCATCATTATTATATATATATTTACTATTATTAGTCTCCAGCTGCTGTGCCAGCTCTTATCGTAGTAGTAATCGTGGAGAATGTCAAACACACGAAGCCGCGAAGAGCCCAAAGTGTTGTTTGATTTTAATGGCCACTCCACACTGGAAGGCAGCGCCACTGGCTCCCAGCGTGGATAATGGAGTATCAGAGACATCTCTGCGTGACCCACCAACCTCACCACGACGACTCTAGTCGGTGGTGGCGAGTGCGAGTTTGCCCAGGACCTCAGTTCCGAGGGGGGCCTCAAAAAGGGCCGAGGGCTGCTCATCTGAAAATTTGCCCTGAGCCACCAGATCCGTTTCGGCGCGCTGGGCACCGCGCGTGTTTGCAGACACCGAGGGCCGCATCTTGACGTCCGTCCGTGGCACCAAGAGGTGCGAAGAGGGCCTGGCGCGGGAACGTGGAATGCGGCCACGGCGGCGCTAATCGCGGCCGCCAGCGCCGCAACATCTGTGAAAAAGAGCTTTATCGCTCGTCGGATTCCTCCAGTTTAAATAAATATTCTGACATCGTTCACCGTGACGTGAATATTCCTGACCTCCCGTGGGTCGCGCTGGCGCTGCGCTGCCAGAGAGCAGCCGCGAGGAGGCCGAGAGTTCAAATGTTGGCGGAGGTCAGCACAGCCGCATCCGTGGTCAGTGAAATGACGACCACTGCCTCGTCACAGAGACGTGGCCACAGGTGGCACGCGTAGAGGGGGGGCGGGGGTACGAAGAGAGGGGGGAAGGGCACGAGGAGAGGGGGAAGGGGAGGGGCACGAGGAGAGGGGGGAGGGGACACGAGGGGAGGGGCACGAGGAGAGGGGGGAGGGGGCAGGAGGAGAGGGGCGAGGGGGCACGAGAAGAGGGGGGAGGGGGCACGAGGAGAGGGGGGAGGGGAGGGGCACGGGGAGGGGGAGGGACACGAGGAGAGGGGGCACGAGGAGAGGGGGGAGGGGCACGAGGAGGGGGGGCACGAGGAGAGGGGGGAGGGGGCACGAGGAGAGGGGGCACGAGGAGGGGGGGCACGAGGAGAGGGGGGAGGGGCACGAGGAGGAGGGGGGCACGAGGAGAGGGGGCACGAGGAGGGGGGGGAGGGGCCACGAGGAGGAGGGGGGGCACGAGGTTGTTTATTCATAGCGGCTACAGTAGAAACAGGCGCAGCAGCTCCTCTCAATCTCTCAGGGGCTCCGTCCACTTTACCACTGCTTCTAGAACCACCGCTTCTGTTTTGTTGAAAGTTTTAGTTGAAAAAAACAGCATCACTTAAGTTTGTTTACACAGGATAGCCCTTATCGTAGAGAAACAGCAGAACCACACGAACTCACTCCGTCTCTCTGCTGAAGCCCCTCTCGTCGTGGCCAGCAAAAGACCTCCAACGTTGGCATCGATGTCCTGACCACTTCCCTGCCGCCGTGCACAAGAACTGAACGGGGATCTTCCTCGGCAGGGCCGTCGCGAGGTTTAACACCACCACGGCCACCCCGGTCTGTGTCGCCACGAGTGCCCTCTAAATATAGAAAGGCCGCAGCTCTCAAATCTATTTTTTGCACCACCCCCGACATTTTCGGCTCGAGGTATCCGCCGATGTCGCCCGTGCCCGACGCTGCCGCTGGATCTCCGATGTTTCGCAATCTCTCACCGCCCCCCCCCCCACCCATCACGTCCTCATACCGGGCCTGGCCACGAGCAGCGGGCTGTGACCAACGCTGTGACCCCCGGGGTAGCCTCGGTAAGGAAGCCCCCAAGCCGTTAGCCGGTGGGCACCCACTTGCTTGGAACGTTTGATCAAACCCTTGGTGACATTTAAATATGATCGTCATGATTATCATCATCATCACCATCCCACGGGGCAGATAGCTCCGTTGGTTTCCACTGCACGTTTCGTAATTTTCTCTGCCTTGTGCCAATATGTTCAAGTAATGGCCACATGTTTCTGACACCGATCTCTTGCGATGTTGTCGTCAAGCCACCCCTCTGCTCGTTCTTCCTCTCTTTCCGGTTTCTTTCATTTTTTGCGAACAAAACACTTTAAATGCTCCTGTTGTTATCCATCCTAAATGTGCGTCCATGTAGTGCCAGTTTCCGTCTCATCACTGCCTGCACCATCACGTTGTCTTCTTCTATGTGCAACCTTGATCTCAATGTGCGTTGGTCACTCTTTGGGTCTAGTTTAGATGTAGCCTGCTACAGCAATATATTTCGAATGCCAATATGTTATGTCTGTTGGTTCGGCCTCATATTTAATTCACATGGCGTGTAAATAATGCAATGATCGCATGCAAGCAGCGCATGCAAACAACAACAACAACACGGCTGATACCAGATAAAAGGGTAAAAACCCAATTATCATATTTTGTTACTGGCAAATGAGGTTTCCAATAATGGAACAACACGGCTGATGCTGATGCAGAGCAACAGCTGTAATTCTACATCGAGGAGCTTGGATGTGGATATTTGCGCCAGGAGTAGCGGCGGAGCGTGATTAATTTTAAATGAATAAAAGGAAGAAGAACCCGAAACACGAGGAGTCGGGCAGATTGAGGCGCGATGGACGGGACGGCGCTTCCTTCGTGCGGAGGAAACCCGGCGTGGCCGGCACCGCGGATTTTAAATCTCCCGCTCGCTCGTAGCGTGAACCAGTAACGCTGCCATCCCATGGCATCGCCAGCGACGTGCCCACTCGGCTGTGGCTCGTGGCCATGCTGCACGTGGCTGCCGGCTGTGACCTAGCGCGGTGAGGGCAGCAGCGAGGCTTGGTGAATCACCGGACAAACGTTGTTGTTAAAGCCCCGTGGGCGTCGAGGAGGAGCCGTACCCTGGCTCGTTAGGAGGTTGCAGTACAGCCAAAATGTGAACTGCACCTGTTCCATCTGCATGCAAGTGCTTCTCCCTCGCTCTCATGGGTTATCTCCAGGTGTTTTCTCCCACATGTAAACACTCATCAATTGGCCAATCACAACATGCTGCATAGAGGACGTCAGAGCTGGGGCAATTGTTGGTTCCGGCTCACCGCGTGGCTGCTTTACTGGTTCCTCCTCGCACCTCTGAGGTCGCTCTCTCTCTCTCTCTCTCAGAGAGTGAGCGAATATTGTGCGGCGCATTACAAGTTGAAGTTATAATTCTACTGTTGTATTGTGTGCCTCGGAAGTGCGGTTGGTGGATTACACAGGGATGGGGTCTGCACGAGACCGCCCATCTGCAGGGCAACGGGGTCACGATCAGAGGCGTTTGGGCATCATCTCGCCGTGTGTCAGGGCTTTCCTCCTGGAACTATGATTTATTTTTGCCAGATAGAGAAAGTGGCCGTGCATCGCACATCTCGAACCTCGTGAAAAACGTCACAGATCTCCCAGGAAGCTGCCCTTGGTTAACCTGACCGTTACTTCCACGGTCATCAGCAGGGTACCCTTATAAATCCAGTTCATTTGGGATGAGTGCCATGTATTGAACCCTGTGAGAGCCCATTCAGATTGATTATTTTTTCTACCGGTGGAAGGTTTGGAGACCGCAGTGATGCAGGGACATTTATAGGCGTTGGGAAGTTGCAATCCGCGTGCTCATATAACACCCATCAAGGACGTGTCTTATGGCAGCTGTACAGGAATAATAGGAATTCCCGATTGTGTGTGAATCCACATAGTTTCAAAACCGCCCAAGTGTCAAATTTGACTGGATTTAGAAAAAGAAAATCCAACCTTCATTCAGTTCTATTCTTGCGTGTGGTGGCAGCAGCAATGTGGCTCAGGAGCTCGACGTCCAATGTCGAGGTTTGCTGGCCACGGCGAGAGGGCTTCAGGAGAGAGTTCGTTCGTGTCGTTTTGCTGTTCCTCTTTCTCCGTTGAAAGGGCGCAGACTACAGTGGTTTACGATACGGTCCATAGTTTGGATTGTATGGCCACAATCGCACTACCGCGGCTTGCCTTTCATTGTTGATTCATGAAAAAGATGTGGGCATCGCCCTGTTTTTGATGAGGCTGATGGTACTATTATAATTATTTATTGCGCAGAATGAGACGACTTAGCCGATTCGCTACACTCGGATAGTTGTGGCCCTCAACGCTGAACTGGGTTCCCCTCGGTGCTGGAGACACCATCAGCCGCTTCGAGCTCGACGGGACGTAAGGCCCGGCAGCGGCCAGGGTGCCGAGTGTTCAAGCGAGCGCGACGCTCGCCGCAGCCGAGCCTCCGCTGTACGACGCGGCCCGGAGCGGCTCCCGAAAACCGGCGCCACCGGCGTGGTCGTTCGCGGCGCCGCTCTCCCGGCTCGGGCCGCGTCTCGCTCGCGGCGGTGGGGGGGGCGGCGGCCTCGCGACGTTAGGCGGCGATTCGCGCCGTGCCCCGGCGCCCCAGGTGCGGGGAGGTGCAGGGAGTTGCGGGAGGATCACTCACGGTGGATGCTGCTGAGTGCTGCTTGTGGTTGCGCCTCCTCCTCCTTCTCATCGGGCTTGGGGCTCGCCCAGGTGCAGCCGGAGAGGAGCAGCGCAGCGAGCAGCAGCTGCGAGACACGTAAGTTCGTGCGCATGGTGAACGTCTTTCGCACCGTGCGTAGCCAACCGTGCTAATCGGAGGCGCACGAAGACTCTCGCACCTCCGCCCGACTCGCCCGGAGAAGCCCACCCGTGCGAGGGGCGAACACTCGGCAGTTGACACCATACAGACGGAACAGGTGGAGTGCACATAGCTGCTGTACTGTCTCTCCTGGCAAGCCAGGGGAATGGCACCTCCTCGATCCACCAACCCACGCTGCTGCCTCCACAGCGCTGGGTCACAGGCAGCAGCCACGTGCAGCATGGCCACTAGCGCTTGGTTAAACGTGCGGGGAGACTCGCACCGCCACAGTCGAGCGGGCACGTCGCTGACGATTACATGGCATGCAGCGTTACTTGTTCACGCTGCGAACGGAGGGTTTGCGAGCGAGTGGAAGGTGTGCGCCCGGAGAGAGCGCACGAGAGGGCACCTCAATAAAATAAATTCCCAAGGGAGGTGCGATGGACCTGACATGGCCATCTTTTAAAATAAGGCCCTACAACAATAGTAATAAAACCGTTCAAAGTATTTACTCTGATAGATATCAATAAAATATCGATGTGGGGGTCCTGAGGAGGAAGGGGGGCGATTGCCCACATCACCCCCCCCCCGCCCGCCCCTCCCCCCTGGATCTGCCACTGCACTGCTGGACTCACATTGTAGATGTAGCATAATGAGGCTTGGAGAATGAGGCTTTACTTAACGAGTAACCTTGGTGAAGTCACAGTGAGAGGCGCAGCCATTAGTTAACACAGATGAATTCGCTCATTAGGGCGAAATGAAACGTAAATTGCCCGTGGAAGCACAGCAATAGGGTTTAAATATATATATTTATAAACAGATGAGAGCCCATAAATTTCCATTATATTTTTTTGGCAGAGGAAAGAGTGTGATCAAGTGGCATTGGCCGTGAAGACTTTAATTGACCCGATGTTTTTTTTTAAAGAATCCGCGTAACTGGAGCTATGTAGACAACATTGTCCGTGGTGTTCTGTGGGTAATTTTATAAAATGGAATTGGGCCCAGTGGGTTAACAGCGGCTAACACTGGTTAGTACCGGTGTCCCGCACGAATAGAAACGTCTTGAGCAGCCAGCACGACACGTGTCGCTTTTATAACTCGGCAATGAAGGCAGCTGCCACAGCAGTGTAACGATAGGTGTCACAATGGACTTGCAATCCCAATGTCGCCGGTTCGATTCCACCTCCGAGTGGAGCAGTCGAAACGATACTGGAAGTTTCCCAATTCTCCACCCCTTCCGAACCGTCCCTGCCCACAGTTTGTTTATCGGCCGGTCGTGTGTGGTGCGGTATAATGTGGGTATGCGCAACTTTTCCAAAAAGTCTGATCAGTGTGGAAGAGTAGACCACAGATCACTCTAGAGCTCCCTGTAGCGGAGGCCCTTTTGCGAGCAGTGTCATGCGCAAGGAATTGCAGGGCTGCACCTATTATTTTCCCATATATTATCTTTCCCGTAGGCCTGCTGGCATGCGGTTTGTTCATTCGCTCGTGCATATGAGTGCGTTCGTAGGGATCACAGTGCCAGCAGCCTAGGTCGATTTTCAAAACCGTGCGGTACACTGCAATAACGTTCAACGAAAAGCCATCACCAGATCTGGTTACAACTCAATTCCCGCTGTCACCCGAACACTGACTGGTGCACCGGCTCCCGGACAGTCCCACGCCAATCCGGGACAGCTGGCAACCGTAGATGGTGTCCAACCCCGCCGACCCCTAATGGACGATGATCGGTGGTGAGAGAGATAGAGAGCTTACGCTGGGGCGTCATGCCATCGGGTCTTTAACTTCCACTTTTACGGCAGACTGCAGGCTTTGGTGAGTCTTCAGAGACAGTGCCGGATGTCTGGAGGGAAATGAGCTGTTGGCGTCAAGCCAGGCGGCTCGGTGATGAGCTGTCTGACTAGGACACTGCGTGCCAAATTCACATTAAAATTGAATAAACCCAAACAGCATATATTACGCATATCCACTTAAAAATAAATATATTTAGACTGCAGTACCGGCCTTCAAGACTTATATTAACCATCAGCATATGTTTCATGTATTTATTTGGGTTTATTTATTTTCTATATCACATGAACCCAGCGGCATTGTTTTAATTCTATTCATATTCTCAAATGACCCCCAAGGTTGCCATGCAAGCGCATGGCGAGTAATGAGTTTGTGTCCGCGCCGGAATGAGTTTGACTGCACTCACGCCACGCGTCGCTTCTCGGCCCCAGCCCACGCGCCACTGACGCGCGGCGCTGTGATGTTGCACTTTGTGGACAAGTCAGTGAATTACTGACGGCGGTGCACATCTCCCATTGAAATATAGATCTTTGAGCAAGGGGTGGAAATTCCACATTCCTATTCGGGGGGGGGGTAGGCAAGTCTATCCATATGACAACAGCTGTTGACCGCCCCCCCCCCCCCCCCGCAAAGTGGTACTCATTTTATTGACAACGGAAGAACGCAGATGGGTTGAGTCTAGCTGCTATGGGGATTGAACTTAAAACCTTGCGACTTCGAGCCAGTCGCTCCGCAGCTTAAGTTACTTGGCCAGGGTGGCTACGTGGGGACTGCCAAGATCGCGGTGCAGGAGGCTCGTGATGAATGCCAAATTCACACCGTGGGTAAAATGACTCTGCCCACACTCGCGCGCCCGCATCCAGCCATGTTCACCAGCTGCATCCGCAGCATCATTCCCCCTCAATGTAACGGCCCACTCAGCAGGAACAAGGCCTCCGTGGGAGTTTAAACACTGCGATGTGCCAACGTGCGAGCGCTACGGATGCGTCAAAGCCTTGCCCTGGCGCGGAAGCACCGGTCCGGTCTTGCTTTATACTTCAGTGTGAGGGGCCTGGAAGAGAGTGGATGTGGCCGACGATGATGAATTCTACCTTCGCGTGTGCTTCTGCGGTAGTGCTGCCGTGACTCTCTGATATGTGTTGGGGGTGGTTGTGGAATCTCCTGCAAATTAAAAACAGCCAAGGGAATTTGCAAGCAGTGGGCGTGCGCGCATGTGTTTGTGTGTGTGTGCGCGGCGTGCAAGCTAATGCGGCATCTCCCGCGAGCACAGCTTCACAACCTTGGGCCGTGCACATCAAGTGGCAACGAGCGTCTCGGGTTACCACCTGCCCGGTTTTGACCCGGACGGTCCGCGGGGTTGGCGTCCGTGTGTCGGGTCTCGGGGCACTGATTTATACCGAGGTCTGGTACCGATGATGCCGTGTTCAACTTGATTACAGCAACTGCACGGTTAGTATAATAGATCCGGTGCTGAGAAACACGTGCGGGTTTGCTCTGGGGAAAAGGTCCTACTTGTTGTATCTGTACCTTATGTGGATCTGCCCTAGGTCAACTCAGCCTAGAATGTTATTCTTGATGTAGTGGCGGTGGTATGATGAGCATCAGGGCTGGGGATACCAAGGTGGCTGGCTGGGTGCGATGGCACACTGCCCTCCCGCAGATAGCGCCATCCACAATACGTGCTCGCCAACATCACTTGCTTCAAGCTGCCGTAGCAGGATGAAGGGGGTGGGGGGAGGTGCGTCTCGATCTCAGGACGCGTCACGGCTAGCAGGGACGATGGTCAAGATTAGTGATGGAGTGGCAGCCAAGGAGTGGAATGTGCCTGAGAGCACGTCGACCGAGGAGATGGAGCCATAAGAGCCGGTCATGTGCAGGTGGCTGGGTGGATTGTTGCATCGCACGATGGTAAGAGATGGCGATGGCTTCAGAATTAGAATATTATTTAGACTGCAGGAGGAATCCGATGAGCTATAAAGCTCTTTTTTTCCCCGGAAGATGTCCAGAATGGGCGGGTCAGCAATTGAGGAGGCCTTCATCCAGCAGTGGATTGAAAATGGCTGATCATAATGATACGTTTTGTGGGTCCACACAACCAATGGAATTCTCCATTTTGTAATAATAAATTAATTTCCAAATAGAGCTGTGACCGTGAATCGAGGCGATTCGTCAAATCTCCAGGTGAATGGTTCCACCACTCGGTGAAGGAAATATCCAGCCGCTGCACACACATATCCGCGGTCTGGTCAATTCTGTCGGCTCAAATGGCAACAACATAAATGTTGGAGACGTGAGGTTGGCACTTTAAGCCGGGGGACCACGGGAGTGGTTGTACCGCGCGGCCCGGCCGCCTCACTGCCACCACTGTGACCACCAAAGAGAAAGATTCCCCGTGTAGCCTTAACAGACTGTTGGGGAAGGTGCTGTTAGTGAGCACCTGTGAAGGCTGGCGCGGCACACGATGAGGTGGGTGGCCGGCATCACGCCTGGCCGCTTTTGTCTCCCTAGTTGCTATGTTTACACACCGCACCAGGTACTCATTTGAGGCTGAGCCGACCTAGGGGAGTCCCAGGACCGGTTCAGATAATCGTTACTGGCGATGTTCGTGAGCGGGAATCAAACCCGGTTCGTGACCACCACCACCATCAGCAGAGAACACCTCTCTCACCACGATGCGTCTATAATGGGGGAGCTGGAGCGGTTTACAGGGCACTGGTGGACATGGGCAGGAACGCCGTGGTGGGAGTGACAATTTGAACCCTGCGACTGCGTTCCGAAAGGAATCAGGGATTTTTCTTTTTTTTAAATATATATGTAATTTGACTCACAGATGCGTGTGCTAGATTAGCAGGGAGACCCACAGACACGCACAGAAACCCACAGAGAAGCACAGAGACGCACACACGTAGTGATTTTCCTCCTCAGATATGGTGGGGGTTGGGGGGGGAATAATTTCTGAGTTCCACCAGTAATGTATTCCCATTCCCAGCCCTGTAAAGGGACCGTTACTCTGAGCCACAATGCAGGTGCGCTCTCCTGTCAAACGCATTCCACTCGCGCACGGGAATGTTTGTCCTCTCGCTCCGGCTCGCAAGTCAGAATATTTATTCATACCGGAGGAATCCGACGAGCCATAAAGCTCTTTTCCACAGTCAT